TCCCTCCCTCTTTCCCTCCCTTCCTTCCTATCTTCCTTCCTTCCTTCCTTCCTTCCTTCCTTCCTTCCCTCTCCTTTCTTCTCCTTCCCTCCCTCCTTTTTTCCTCCCTCACTTCCTTCCTTTCTTTTTCTATAACGGAATTTTACTGCACTTTGAGCTCCAGTAGATTCACAGTATTAGGGCTATGTCTAGGTACCTCTGAGAGGTGCCAAGGCATTGGGCAGAATTCACTGTGAAGCAGAGGAGGGCTGATTTCAAGCCATCATCCGTCCATGCAGGCATGATCTGGGGTGTTGTTACTGTGTGGGCTCAATTGTCGGGCGGTCCAGGTTCCTGCTTTGTCCCATCTTAGCCTTCAGCTTTATCCATAACCTTGATGGAACCCTGACTGTAGTCCCTGATAGAAAGGTCTCTCCTTCCATACCAGGATCTCCACCCCAGCAGGGTATACAGAATTGCAGGCACAGGAAGCACAAATCCTGCAGTTGGGTCCCTGGGAGTGATGGTACGAGGGGCTGCTCTTTTCCTGCCTCTTGGTTCCTGACCTATATATTTTAGCTATTGAAGGCACATCACCATTACAAGCTATTGATTCATTCATGCCTGTGTCCTGGAGGACGGGGCCCCAACTCTGCAGGCTGTCTTCCCCACCTGGCCCCTCAGGTTAGCTTTTAATAAGCCACTCGTATCAGGCCAACTGTTTCTGGGTAATGAGTACAGTAGGACCCTATGGAGGCAGGGTCCATAGAGGCAGCTAAGAGCACACTCTCAAAGGAGCCTTAAGAGAAACTTAAAATTCACATTCTGGAAAAGGGCAGAAGAGAATTGTTAACTGAAGAATGGAGCATGTTCTATTTTGCTTGTATAATACCATACACTTTTCTACTTTTCTTTCTCCCGGTGGTTTTTCCTCTTATTGGCACATGCTCAAAAACAAGTTCACCACTTACCAGTTCCATAAAGCTTCTTGTTCCCCCAGCAGAAAATAACGTCTTCCTACTCCAGAGTCCTCTATTTGCTTTATCTGCTGTTCTTTCTCATGACACTTACTGCTTTATGGATCTGTCTTATCTCCCCTACACATTCGAAGGGTACTCTCTCTGTCTGCTTCATCCTTGTAACCTTTAAATAACAGTGATAGCTGACACTTATATAGTTCTTACCATGTGCCAGGCTTTGTCAAAGCACTTTACATATGCAGCTTCCTTTTAAGCCTCATGGCGACCCTATGAGGAACTATAATTATCCTCATTTTATAGAAGAGGAAACTGCGGTACTGGGAGATTAAGCCCCTTGCACAAGATTATCACACAGCTAGGAAATGGCAAAGCTGGGATTTAAATCTGCCTTTTCCTATGAAATGGAAATAAATTGTGAAGTGGAAATAAATTGTTCTGCAAAGCTTCTTGTTGTATTGATGTGGCGATATTTAACAATATAGGAACTCAGAATAATAATTGGGGATCTGGTGTTGGCCTCTTTTAGATGGTTGCTCTATAAAGTTTAATGAAATGCCACTCAGTTCTGGAGCTGACTTCCTGGCTGTCATTATTCTTAGCGGTCTCGCTGACCATTTTGTCCTTTCAAGAAAGCTCAGTACAGACTTAAGGAAGATAGATTTCATTAGATGAACATTCCAAGGTTATTTTGGAATTTACTTGGGAGGATCAATGATTTCTGGCCCAATTTAAAAAAGATTCCAAACGAATTAAGTAAAATTTTTAGTTGAAATCCTCATGCAACCAACAGCATTAAGAACCATCTCAAGACTAATTGATGAATAAAAGTCAACTAACTTCAAAGGGCTATACAGACTATTTTATTTTACTAGAAATTCAATGCAGCCACATTCTATGAAGCAATGTGAGGCTTGGAAGATACATAGGGAATTCTCATGGTAGTAGTGTTTGTTAATATAAGGTGTAATTTAAGCTAGCACATACTCATCTAGAAGTGTGTTGTTATTATGCCTCTAGAAATAATTCATGTTAGGATAACAAATAAGCTATGGCTACTCACCACTGATCGGGATTATTTATTTCAATTCATAATAAAAAGCATGCCTGAAAATTCCTATGTATATGAATGATATTCAGGTGGTAGTTTCGGTGTAGCCTAAAAAAGTCTTCCTCTACAACCTGGAAGTTTACAATGCCATGGTGTTTAATAAATATTGATTATTGATACTGAACTTAGTTACCAGAAATTCAAGATGGAGGCTTAGTTCAGATAAGCCTCTTTAAAGAAGCAGTTTGGGGTTGTGAGAAAGAGTTCATCACATGAGGTGTGTCGTATTTTGTAGCGTGTACTCCTTCCATTTCTCTCACAGGGGTTAAGTCACAATCCATTAAAATAAACTACATTGCATTATAGCTTTCTTAGATCCACTCACAAAAGTATTGCAGTTCATAGCACGAAGACTGTATGTTCTTCGTCCATTTTTATCTGTCTGGATCTGATTGTATGGCTTTGCAGACACTCTGCATTCATTTATCTGAGTTTTGAGCACTGACCACATGTCAGATGCTATGCCTTAGCACCTAGGATATCCAAAACTATTGTTCTATTAAGAAGTCAGTACCCAGTGGAGAAGACAGGCATGTAAACATGGCTGGAAGCAGAAAAGAAATCCAAAAAAACTAATGCCAATAATCATTTATTTGTAGCTTTACAAGCCACACTTTTTGTGCGACACCCAGAGACAGGGAAGTTGCTGGTTAATTTTGATCCCAAAATTTTGGAAGTTGTTCGGGAAACTAAGTGCATGATAAAAATGAAGCTGGATGTACCAGAAGAGGCAAAGAGATTGCTAAAACTGGAGAATAAATTGAAAGCAGATAAATTGCATTTGCAGGTAAGATAGATTATATTTTTAAATTATTTTTGAGGGAGTTTTTTGTTTTGGTAAAAGAAAAATACGTCACGGGAGTTGTGCTGATGTGATATTGAGGGGAAATTTGTTACTACGTTGATTGTTCATTTTTCTTCAGTTTTATTGAGGTGCAGTTGACAAATAGAATTGTAAGATATTTAAAGTGTGCATCATGATGATTTGATATACATATACAATTGGCACAAAAACAGACACATAGACCAATGGAATAGAATAGAAACCCCAGAACTAGACCCACAAACGTATGGCCAACTCATCTTTGACAAAGCAGGAAAGAACATCCAATGGAAAAAAGACAGTCTCTTTAACAAATGGTGCTGGGAGAACTGGACAGCAACATGCAGAAGGTTGAAACTAGACCACTTTCTCAAGTTCATTCACACAAAAATAAACTCAAAATGGATAAAGGACCTGAATGTGAGACAGGAAACCATCAAAACTAGAGGAGAAAGCAGGAAAAAGGACCTCTCTGACTCAGCCAGAAGCAATTCTTTACCGACACATCCCCAAAGGCAAGGGAATTAAAAGCAAGTGAATTACTGGGACTTATGAGATATTGTAAAAGCTTGCACAGCAAAGCGAACCAACGGAACTAAAAGGCAAAACCAACGGAATAAGATATTTGGTCAAATGACATATCGGACAAAGGGCTAGTATCCAAAATCTATAAAGAGCTCACCAAACTCCACACCCGAAAAGCAAATAACCCAGTGAAGAAATGGGCAGAAAACATGAATAGACACTTAAAGAAGATATCCGATGGCCAACAGGCACATGAAAAGATGTTCACGTCAAGCCCTTATCAGGGAAATAAGAAATCAAAAAAAACCACACTCAGGTATCACCTCACGCTTCGTCATCAGAGGCCAAAATGACTCAAATCAGGAGACTATAGATGCTGAGAGGGAGAAACGGGAACCCTCTTGCACTGTTGGGAATGCAAATTGGTGCAGCCGCTCTGGAAAAAGCAGTGTGGAGGTCTCTCTCATGAAAGTTAAAAAAATAGACCTGACCCAGCAATAAAGCACTGCTAGGAATTTATCCAAGGGACAAGAAAGGAGTACTGATGCATAGGGGCAATTTGTACCCCAATGTTCATAGCAGCACTCTCTCAACAATAGCCAAATTATGGAAAGAGCCTAAATGTCCATCAACTGGATGAATGGATAAAGAAATTCGGCTTATATACACTATGGAATACTACATGTGGTAATGAGAAAAATGAAATATGGCCTTTTGTAGCAACGTGATGGAACTGAGAGTGTGATGCTATGAAATAAGGTTTTCATACAGAGAAAGACAGATACCATGAGCCACTCTTATGTGGATCCTGAGAAACTTATGGAAACCCATGGGGAGGGGAAGGAAAAATATAAGTCAGAGGGAGAGAGCCAAAAGCACAAGAGACTGAGAACTGAGAACAAACTGAGGGTTGATGGGGGGGCGGGAGGGAGGAGAGGGTGGGTGATGGGTATTGAGGAGGGCACCTTTGGGATGAGCACTGGGTGTTGTATGGAAACCAATTTGACAATAAATTTTACATATAAATAAAAAAAAAAAAAAGAAATTAGGAGTTTATATACACAATGGAATACCACGTGGCAATGAGGAAAAATGAAATATGGTTCTTTGTAGCAACGCTGGATGGAACTGGAGAGTGTGTGATGCTATGAAATAAGCCATACAGAGAAAAGACAGATAATTATGGTTTCACTCTTATGTGGATCCTGAGCTTTTAACAGGAACCCATGGGGGGAGGGAAGAAAAAAAAAAAAAAAAAAGAGGTGTTAGAGTGGGGAGAGAGTTACAAGAGAATGTTGAGAACCAAGAGAACAAAACTATGTTGATGGGGTGGAGAGGAGAGGGTGGGTGATGGGTATTGAGGAGGGCACCTTTTGGATGAGCACTGGGTGTTGTATGGAACCAATTTGACAATAAAAGCCTCCATATATAAATAAAAAAAAAAAAAGATATACATATGGGCTATCAGAAAGTATTCCTGTCATCTAATTAACACATTCATTACCTCATATATATATATATATATATATATATACCTCATATATATATATATGCCTCATATATATATATGCCTCATATATATATACCTCATATATATATATACACATACCTCATTTATATATATACATACCTCATATATATATGTGTGTGTGTGTGCGTGTGTGCACGCGTGCACATATATATTATGTATATTTGTCTCTTTTTTTGGTGAGAATATTTAAGTTCTACTCTCTTTGTAAAATTTGATTATATGCTATAGTGTTATCAATTATAGCCACCATGTTAATCGTCAGATCTCAGTCTTTATTCATCTTTAGCTAAACGATTGCTCCCTTTTACCAAACTCTTCGTATTCCCTCACCACTCCCAGCCCCTGGCAATCACTTTTATGCTGTTTTTACAAGTTAAGCTTTTTTAGATTCCACATGTAAGTGGCATCATACAGTATTTGTCTTTCTTTGTCTGCCTTATTTCATTTAGCATAATGCCTTCAAGGCCCATCCATGTTGTTCCAAATGGCAGGATGTCTTTCTTTCTCAAGGCTGAGTAATAGTCCATTGCATATATATACCGTATTTTCTTTACACATCCATTTATTGACGGATGTTCCCATCATCATTGTAAATAACATGGGAGTCCAGATATCTCTTTGAGACCCTGATGTGGGAATTGCTATGTCATATGGTATTTTTATCTTAAAAATTTTTGAGGAAACTCTAGACTGTTTTTCATAGTGGCTGCACCAATTTACATCCACACCAACAGTGCACAAGTGTTCCCTTTTCTCCATATCCTGGCCAACACTTGTTATCTCTTGGGTGTTTGTTTGTTTGTTTTGAGAATAACCATTCTAATAGGTGTGAGGTACCATTTCACCGTGGTTTTGATTTGCATTTCCCAGATGGTTAGTGATAATTGACTACCTTTTCATGTACCTATTGTCCTTTTGTGTCTCTTCTTTGGAAAAATGTCTATTCAGTTCCTTTGCATGTGTTTTAACTGGATTGTTAGTTTTCCGCATTTTTGTTGTTGTTGTTGTTGTTTTTGTTGCCATAGGCTGCCTTTTCATTTTGTTGATGGTTTTCTTTGCTGTGCAGAAGCTTTTTACTTCGATGGAGTGCCACATGTTTATTTTTGCCTTTGTTGCTTATGCTTTTGGTTAAATCCAAAAATCACTGCCAAGACAGCTGTCAAGGAGCTTACCCCATGTTTTCTTTTTTAGAGTTTTACCGTTTCAGGTCTAAAATTTAAGTCTTTAATCCATTTTGAGTTGATTTGTGTGTATGTGTTTAAGATAGGTGTCCAGTTTCATTCTTTTGCATGTGACAGTCTAGTTTTCCCAATACTATTTATTGAGGAGACTGTCCTTTCCTCATTGTATATTTTTGGCTCCTTTGTATATTCTTGCTTCTTTGTAAATTAATTGGCCATATGTCAGGGATTTATTTCTGGGCTCTTTATTCTTTTCCTTTTATTTTATTTTATTTTATTTTATTTTATTTTATTTTATTTTAAATTTCAATATAGTTAGCATACCATATTATATTCCCTTGTTTCTTCTTGATAGTATTAAAATACTGATGTGAAAACAGAATACTGGGAATATAAAAGGTGGAAAGGAGTTGATAACTTTGAAACTATTAAGGAAACATTGAAACAGCTTAATATTATTAATTTGGGGAAGGATTGATTGGAATCCTTATTTCCCATCACACCCTGCAATAAATTATGAAGTGGCCAAAAATTGATCATTACGGTTCATCTCTAAAAAATATCTAAAGGAAAATATATAAGCCTATTAATTCTGATTGTGCATACATTTATTTTGATTCAAGAAAACAAGTGTGACATCAATAATAAGTATGCTTTCATGTGTTCCAGAACGGGGAAAAACTTATAATGAGAGACATCTTGAAAAGATAATTATCCATGCTATTTAAAATAGCATAGAGAAAGGTAATTAAATAGTAAATATGAAAAATACAACTCTAGAAAGCTCCACTGACTTGCTCTTTAAAGGAGATGCTAAGGTAATTTACAGGTGAGGAAAAAGTATGGTAAATTAATATAAATTTAGGTGAACGGCCTTAATCTTGGCAGGACCATGAGGAAACAGGTATAATGACACCTTCCTGGTGTGAATCAAAATATGACTTGCTTTAAAATAAATTAAAGTAAAACACACCATTTTGACTTTCAACAGGGTCTTCTGCAGTATTATGATGAGTTATGTCAGGAAGTGCCTTCAGTGTTTGTCAATCTGATGACCCCGAGAATGAAAAAGGTTGGTAATGCCAAAGGTTTTATATTGATTTCCCTGGTGTTTAAAATTAGATTCCCGTTCCACAGATTATGGATTTTATCTATTCTTGCCTAGATCCGCTATCTTTCTAGTTCAACATTATAGCTCTATTTCTCCTATAGAATGATTTCTTGTCAACAAGTTTTGTTGCCTTTGAAAAACAACTAAATCTAAATAACGAGCACTTTCTAAGAATCCATGATTCTTCATGGACAGCCAAAGGTGATTAAAAAACAAAGTCACCTTTACCAAGTATAATGGAGAGAAATAAAATTAAGGAAATATAACCTATAATATTTCCAGGTAATAAAAAGAAAGCCTTTTTAAGTAAATGCAAATGTTGTTGTTAATCATGGAAGCTGCTATGTTTTTTTTCTTTTCTTTTTCTAGGTGGAATCTGTGTTGAGACAAGGGCTCACAATATTAACATGGTCATCTTTAACACTAGAGAGCTTCTTTCAAGAAGTTGACTCGGTTTTGGATATGTTCAATCAACTTTTAAAGAAGGTATGATAAATGCATTTTTTAACTACATACATTAATACTCAGGCTATAAATAATAGTTTGCTTATCTATGAAAGCTATTTAAAGAATGTGACTCTTAACTAAAAGGACATCTATTGAGTTAAAAAAAATAATGCTTTATGTTTCTCTAACTGCTTTGGGGCCTTTTCATGCAGAGTTGCCTTGTTTTTGTCTCTGAATTACTTGCCTTCAATATGTTAAAATGGTAGTTCAACTCCACAGTGTAGTTTAGCAAATGGAATAATTGTAGACTGTGGAAAATGGCAAAATGGAGTGCTTAAATATTAATACATCTAATGTTAGTTAGATGAGGCATTCACCTAATGGAGACGGTGTATTGATTTCTGACATCTTTTCTACATAGAACATGCATACCTTCTTAGATGTGCTTTTCTCTGATGACAGCAGGGTCAATAGACAAAACTCAGAGGCTTGAGAGTCAGATAAATCTAGGTACAATGATCTGCCTTTTGCGTTCCTTCCCAGGTTACTTTGCTTATCTGAGCCTTTGTTTCTTTAGCTGTAGAACTTGGGTAGTAATGAGTCATGGGCCAGAAGAAGGATTAAAAGAGATAACGTATATCAGATTATGACATATGTTGCTGCTCTATAAAACTTTAGTTCCACGTCAAGCTTTCTTTGTAAATGTACTCCTACAATTTCCACCAAATTATCTTGGCTCAGGCCCCAAGTTTCGAGATACAGCCCTCTAAATTATTTTATAACTCAAGTACATCTTGGATGAAAGAAGAGTTTTCCTCTCCATGTTTTTTCTTCTTGGTAGATCAGCGACTTGTGTGAAATGCATATTGATACAGTTCTAAAGGAGATAGCCAAAACTGTGTTAATTTCCCTGCCTGAAAGTGGTGCCACCAAAGTAGAAGATATGTTGACACTCAATGAGGTATGCATTTATGTGTTATATTTTAATCATAGAAATACTGGCTCATATACTTAAAATGCGAATTTATAATCTAAACGTGGAAATCTCTGTTAGTAGTATATAGACATCCTTGCTTTTTTGGAAATCCTCAGACTCAAAGACTTACAAGGCTTCAACAACTCAAGTCCATGGCCACACCCTAGATAGGATCTTACTAATATCCTCAACCTCATGCTGGGGTTTCCTGGGGTTCCTTCCGTCAGTGGTTTACTGCTCTTCCTCCTCTGTGTTTACTCCCAGGGCAATATCGACTACCTCTTGGTTTTGACTACCACATCCTTGCCCTTTAAGCCACTCACAGAAATCTGGGAGTTATTTGGAGTCCTTTTCACACTCCCATTTCCTACCTCCAGTCAGTCTTCAGGCTTCAGGCCAATTGTCTTCAGGCCAGTTTTTGCCTTTTACTCCAAGTTTGCTTGAATTAATTGCTTCTTCTTCTCCATACTTACTACCCCTTTCTTAGGTCAGGCCCTTAAGGCTCATTTTGAGTTTAGTGCTTGATGTTATGATCTGACTGGTCTCTCTTCTCTATATCTGGCTCCATCATGTCCATTCTCCACATTGCCACCAAATCTGATTGTGAAACTCGTGATCTTAAATCCTTCAACCAGCAGTGGCATCTAGTCTCCATAGGACAAAAGCTAACCTCAGCATCACATTATACTGAAATTATTTGAGTATCTATTTATTCTCCATTGGCTCAAAATTACAAAAATAGGAACCCTAACGGTCTGGCACATAACACATAGCACACACAACACAATCTCTCCTAGAAGTACTCACTTTACATCTTGAACTGGACTCTTTTATTTCTTGCCTGCCATGTGCTTCTGCTACACTTACTCTGCTGGTTGGGGTCACCTTGCTAGTGTCCTTTTCAAGACAACCAAGGGTGCCTCTGTCTCATGGGCTCCAATCCTGCCTATGGGATACAGGGCCCTTTGACCCTGTTGCTATGGAAATTCAGCTTCTTCTTTCCAGGACACCTCTTCATGCCTTTAGGGGTTTGGATAAGCCAGCTGGCCTCTTGCCTCAGGACTAACTAGACATGAGTCAGCCCCTTCATCCCCAAATTCTAGAGGACATGGGTCAAGTTCTCTGAATAGTTATTTTGAAGGACGCTACACTTATTTCTACGTGATCTCTACCGATGATTAAGCTTCCTTTCTATAATCTCAAGATGGGCAAAGGGCTAATGGTTGCCTCCCCTGCTACCATTTAAGAATTCACTTCTTCATAATATGTAGGACCTTAAAATCATTTGTTCCCAGCACTGGGACCTTGGCTGTAACAGAGACAACACTAAATGATCCATTTTTACATCCTGTTCTTGGAGCATGCAAATTTAAAATGATTGTGTCTTCCTGGCTATTCGTTCCATCATTGTTAAGCTTTTTATCCTTGAAGTTTATTGTGTTTGACATTAATGTAGCTACACTGGCTTTGTTCGGTTATTATTTTCCAGATATATCTTTTTCTATTCTGTTTTTTTTCAACCTTTCTGGGTTCTCCTATTTTAGGTTTTCTCTTATAAAGAATATTTAGCTGGATTTTGTATTTAATCTCCAGTAAAAAAAATCTATCATTTTTTTTTTACAAATTACTATATAAATTTAATACACTTCCAGTCAGAATTCCTATACAATTCTTTTCATAAATTGTATTAAATTATATTATTTTAAATTAATTAATAATGAAGAATAGGTAATAAAAAATGAAAATACAGAAACCCATTGTAATCAAATTAATATGGCATTAACAGAAAAAAACATAATTTAGAGGGACAAAATAAAGAATCTAGGAGAAAAAAAATCACAATAAAAATTAATACGTGTCAAAGATAGTATTTTTAGTTCAGTGGGGGAAACGATGGATTATTTAAATGGTGCTGGCACAATACAGTGTTTCTCAGGAAGAAAATATGATTAGGTGCCTGTCTCTCTTTTTTAATTATTGAAGTATAGTTGATATACAATGTTATGTTAATGTTTCAGGTGTACAACATAGTGATTTGACAATTCTATACATTACTCTGTGCTCACCATAATAAGCACAGTCACCATCTGTCACCATACATTATTACAATATCATTGACTATTATGCTATACTTTACATCTCTGTGACTGATTTATAACTGGTGGTTATAATTCCCGTCACCTATTTTGCTCATCTCTCCAGAAAACAAAAGCACCAGTTTGTTTTCTATATTTATGAGTCTGTTTCTGTTTTGTTCTATTTGTTCATTTGATCATTTGTTTTGTTTCCATCCATGTTGTTGTAAATGGCAAGATCTCATTCTTTTTTTATGGAGGGTAATATTCCATTGTTTATATATACCACATCTTCTTTACCCATTTATCTATTGATGGGTACTTGTGTTGCTTCCATGATTTGGCTATTATAAATAATGCTGCAATAAGCATAGGATGCATGTATCCCTTTAGATTACTGTTCTTGTATTTTTTGTGTAAATACCCAGTAGTGTGATTACTGGATCTATTTTTAACTTTTTGAGGAACCTCCATATTGTTTTCCACAGTGGCTGCACCACTGTTTGGATTTTCACCAGTGGTGCAAGAGGGTTCCTTTGTCTCCATGTTCTCACCAACACTTGTTTCTTGTGTTTTTGATTTTAGCCATCCTGACAGGTGTGAGGTGATATCTCATGGTGGTTTTGATTTGTACTTCCCTGATGATCAGTGATGTTGAGCATCTTTTCATGTGTCTCTTGGTCATTTGTATGTCTTTTTGATGTTAAGTTTTTCCATCTTTTTTCAGTGGAATCCTTCAGGCTGGCTTCTGTATTTTTAATATGACTCCAGTAGTTTTTGAAAGCTTCCTTGCTTTCTGGAACTAGAGGGTACCTTACGCTCATCTTGTACATTTCCTGCCCCAGATCTGGGATCACCCATTTCTCTAGTTAGCCCTCATGCCTTTCCATGTTACCAGTGGAAAATGGTACATGGAGATCACAATCTGGGTCCTACGAAAGGCACTCATTTTAAACTTTTAGTCATTCCTTATAGTATTATTTCTACATCTCTAAGTAATATACTTGGGGTGCTGTTTCTTGAGTTAGCAAATTTGCACATTATTTTCTTCCTGCTTCAATAAGTGAGCATTTAGCTTTTTGACCCTATCCTCTGTCACTCCTCTCTTGTCTTCTCAATATAGTTATAAAATTATTTTTAGTTAAACAGTGATGGTAAGTAGCAACACTTTATTATGCCTGTGTAAATATCAGCCAATGCAGAATCAAGTACTGTACATACAATACATCTTTTCTTATACAACTTTTTGTTTTCCCTAGGGGTTCTAATTGCCTTTCTTTTCACATTTTCCTTCAAATACGCTATTATTTCAGAGTCCCATTTTTCTCCCAAGAGACTTCCTCTCAGAGACCTCTGAATCCCTGTTTCAACCTGAGTTGATACTGTCCAGGTCAGCTGCAAAATTATAAATCCAAGACTCTCCCCCATCTGCTCTTTTTACTGGATTCCATATTATTCTATGAGGGAGAGCCCTTCAGATTCCATAATGATCTTTTCTCAGCAACTGAAAATTTCCAAAGAAGTCTCCTGTTTCCTGCCCCAGGGGCTAGGGGTAATTTCCTGCCTGCCATTTTCTTCTCGCTCATCCTAGAATCTCACTATATGTATGTACTTCATACCAGGCCCTACTTATAAACAAACACAATTAAAAGGGGCAGGGAATACCTATATGGATGTCCTTCTTTTTGTTCCACTTATAATGATGATCATCTTCTATTGGTATGTACCTATAATTGTTGTGACACAGTCAACTGCTCAGTGGGGAAATATTCACACTTACCAGATCGAATTTACTTTGAAAACATGAACCAAGAATTTTTATATGCATAGAAAGAGAAACAGATCACACAAATCAGGGAAATTGGGACAGATTAAGTGTGAGTGGGTGTGAATGTGGCGATTGCAGTGACATCACAACAGAAGAAGTTATTACTATTAGATAAGTGTTAAGTCTCCAAACTGCAGGCAGAGATATGAGAGGTGGAATTTTGAAGAGTGCTTTGCCAGTCAGTATGCCACACTCACTTGCGTCAGAGGTATCTAAGGTGTAGTGATATGTGGGCTGCCTTTCCATCAGGTAGGCCATTAATAGTGAAGGCAAGTAAGATTTAAAATGACCGGGAAAGTCTAGTAATACTCTGGACAGAATTAAGTTTTGGAAACATGCACACATAATGCTAATGTTGCGGGGGAGGAGGTTAGTTTGGGCCAACCAGTGGTTTCAGACCATATTTGGGAACCAGGGATATTTGTAGTCATTCAGTGGCTTCAAATTGGATCTTTTGCTCTGTGACGCTGAGGCTGGGACTCTGCAAACTACATTTATCTTTGGCCAGCTGGCTCCCTTTTAGGTTTTGCCAATAGTGCTGCTAGAAGAAGGATGGAGGAGAGAGAAGGGACTTGCTCTTTCCTGTTTTTCTTCCAGTTCCCAATACAGTCAGATGACCTCTCTTAACTGGCAGTGGCAGTTAATCCTAGGTTCTAGCTTTTTCCAGTCCTTCCAGGACCAGCTTCTTGTGCTTCTCAGATGTACCAACACCATGATGTCTCTCTCTGAGCTCCTGAGGCAGTAGCACCAACTGGGCAGTTCCCTCACTTCCCAGCTCTAGGTCTAAAAACTCCAGCCTCTTGCCTTTGCTCTCCCACTCCCCAGGTGTGGGAGCTGCTTCCTGAAGTAACTCTCTGTGTGACCTTTGCATCCCTTTTGCCTTTTTTGGTCCTTTAACAGTTGTTTCACCAATTGTCTATATTAAATCCTCTCATTCTGTCGGTTAAAATAGCTGGTGTCGCATCTGTTTTCCTGACTGAACCCTGACTGACATATCTGATTCTCGATAGGTATACAAATGGAATAGAAAATCAGGGAAATTTGATTCAAGTTATGATAGGAAAACTGGTAAATACATTAAAGGTTGTTAAAAGTCATTTCAACAAAATCACCTTGGCTCCGTAGAGACAGAAAATAGATTAGTGGCTGCCAGATGGGTGATGAGGAGGGACTACTAATGGGTATGGGGGTTCTTTGTGGGGGGAAATGAAAATGTCCTGGAATTAGATAGCAGGGATGGTTGTACAATTCTGTGAATATACCAAAAACCAATGAGTTGTACACTCTACAAGGGTACTTTTTGTGCTATTACGTTATGAATTATATCTCAATTAAAAAAAGAAAGAAAGAAAATCATTTTGACTGTCTTTCCAGTCTGTCCCTGGACTTCCCCTCAGTATTTCAGTCTGTTCTTCTCTGAGTTCTAAGAATGGTCCATGGAGAAAGTTTTCGACCTCTTTTCAAAATCTAGGTCCTCCAGATGGGCTCTAGATCCCACACCTCCTTGCCCTTCTGGCAACCTTCCTCCCCTAGTCTTCTTCCCTCTCTTCTAGATCTTCGACTTTGTCCCCTCCACCGGACTCCTCCCCCTCACAGTGTAATGTGCCGGATTATCTTTTCCTTGCCAACAGACAAAAACCTTCCCACACCTCCCTTCACTCCTCATTCACAACCAAACTTCACCAGCTTCTCGTGCATGCTGTCTTCACTTCCCCATCTTTCAGTTCCCATCTCCATTTGCTTTCCTCCAATTCCTAGCTTAGGTGATTTCCGGCATGGATTATTATTGGTAATAACTTTATGGAGATGTGGTTCACACACCATGCAATTTTACCCATTTAAAGCGTACAATTCAAGGGTTTGAGTTTATTCACGGAGTTATACAGGCATCGCCACAATTTTAGAACATTTATAACACAATTTCATCTCAACCTCTCCGGCCCTAGGCAACCACTAATCTGTTTTCTGCCTCTTTAGAGTTGTTTGCTTTCCCTGCTTATCTGAAGTGGCTCTTACCACTGGCATTCCAGTGTTTACCACTGTGGTGAATAAATTGGGAAGGGTGGAATGCTCCCATTTATTTTTCTCTCTCTAAAATGTTATGGACATTGTAGACGTGTCAAAAGGTCTATTCAGTTTTATAGACCAGTTTTCTTTTCTGAATTTAACTACTTCTCAGCTTCTTCCCAAAGCCTATTCGAAAAGTTCAGAAAGGCAGAGCACAGACTTTTAAATCAGACAATGCTGGTTGTAAACTCCTATGTTTCCCACCTGCTATGTGATTTTGGACAAGTTACTCATTCTTTCTGAGCCTCAGTTTTCTAATTTGTGAAATGGGGACAATAATATTACCCATCTCAAGCAGTTGTCATTTAATTAAATGAGTTAATACACATAAAGCTCTTAAATTGATGCCTGGCATAAGCAAGCACCGTGCTCACTTGTTCACTTAAAAGCCTTATCTCGTTTGAATCTCAAAGCAACACTTTGGATTGCCTTTTTAAAAACTTCTCATTTTCAACTTTTGACATCATTATCTCTCCTGTCTTTCAGTTTTCTTTCTTTCTTTCTTTCTTTCTTTCTTTCTTTCTTTCTTTCTTTCTTTCTTTTTTCTTTCTTTCTCTTTCTTTCTTTCTTTCTTTCTTTCTTTCTTTCTTTCTTTCTTTCTTTCTTTTTTCTTTCTTCCTTTTTTTAAGTACACTCTACCCCTAACACAGGGCTTGAACTCATATCCCCAAGATTAAGAGTTGTATGTTCTACCGACAGAGCCAGCCAGGCACCTCTGCCTTCTTTCTTTTCACCATATAAATGTGAAGGTAGATGTTTATGTGTGATTGAATCAGATGAGTTTTTATTTTTCTTTCCTCTTTTTCTTTGCTTGGGCCTTACCAGGTATGCCTTTAGCCATTGAGAATATGGGATCTGAAACATTATGCTATTGGCAACTATCTCTAGTTATTTTCAAGTGCTGTTAATTATAGTTTTATAAATTAAGTTTCACAGTATTTTTAAGCATCTGTAAATTAATAGTCATTGCTTTATTTAACAGACATACACAAAAGAATGGGCTGATATCCTAAACCACAAAAGTAAGCATGTGGAAGAAGCTGTCAAAGAACTTATATTAATATTTGAAGCTATTTATGAAGTTAAGGACAGTGGGAAAACAGCAAAACCATTACCAGGTAATTTTGCTAGTTCTAAAGTTTGAATTGCAAGAGTTATAGATATGTTTTCAGGTGGGTGCCTTCTGCTTAGCAGGTACCAAGATTCCAGACTCCCTGAAGGAAAGCATGTGTTCAGCATACACCACATCATTTGCAGAAACTGCTTAGGCACAGTGAGCCCTTTTTATCAGCTAGAGAATAGTGGGAATCAGGACCAATGCTGCAAGCAGTCTTAGGCTTGCTATTGTTAATCTCTCTCTGTCTCTCTTTGTTTCTTTCCAGTACAGCATTCTAAAATGTCTGGAGACATTTTTAGTCATTGTGCATCATGGGGAATATTATTGGCATCTAGTGGGTAGAGGTCAGGGGTGCTGGTGACAGTCCTACAGGGCACAGGACAGCCTTCAATAACAAAGAATATCAATAGTGCTAAGAATGAAATCTTGCCATTTGCAACAATATGGATGGAATGGATGGAACTAGAGTGTATTATGCTAAAGGAAATAAGTCAGAGAAAGATAAATGTCATATGGTTATATTCATATGTGGAATTTAAGAAACACAACAGATGAACATAGGGGAAGGGGAGGAAAAATAAGATAAAAACAGAGAGGAAGGCAAACCATAACAGACTCTTAAATACAGAGAACAAACTGGGGGTTGCTGGAGGGAAAGTGGGTGGGGATGGGCCAAATGGGTGATGAGCATTAAGGAGGGCACTTGTTGGGATGAGCACTGAGTGTTCTATGTAAGTGATGAATCACTGAATTCTACTCCTGAAACCATTATCACACTATATGTCAACTAACTTGGATTTAAATAAAATTAAAAAAAATAGTGCTGGGGTGCGTGGGTGGCTCATTCTGTTAAGCATCTGACTTCAGCTCAGGTCATGATCTCACAGTTAGTGGGTTCGAGCCTTGTGTCAGGCTCTGTGCCAACAGCTCAGATCTTGGAACCTGCTTCGGATTCTGTGTCTCCCTCTCTCTCTGACCCTCCCCAGCTCACGTTCTGTCTCTGTCTCTCAAAAATAAATAAACATTAAAAAAAATAGTGCCAAGGCTAAGAAACTACGAGTTTAAATAAGTATTGACAGCATGTTTTCTTTTTCTTTTTTCCACTTAGTTTGTCTACTTAGTTTAATTAGCTTTCTTCAGAAGTGTCGAAAACCCCAAATATCAGCTTATTAAGTTAGAGTATTCAAAAGGTAAACACATATTTTAGAAAGATAATATGTAAAATGCTCTTAAAAATTTTTTTTGAGGGGGGGAGGGGCAGAGAGCGAGGAAGAGAGAGAATCCTAAGCAGGCTCCACGTTCAGAGCAGAGCCTGATGCAGGACTCCATCTCATGACTGTGAGATCATGACCTGAACTGAAATCAAGAGTCAGGCGCTTAACTGACTGAGCTACCCAGGTGCCCCCAAATATTTTTAATTCTGTATACTAAGCTGCAGCATATATAAGAGTGTATTTCTTAGTAGAATTATGATTCTATTGAGATGAGTGATTTAAATTGAATTCAAAGATGATTCCTACAGAAACAAGTCTTAAATTTTTAAATTAAGAACTTTTAATTTTTTTTAATGTTTATTTATTTTTGAGAGAGAGAGAGAGAGACAGAGCACGAGCAGAGGAGAGACACAGAAACTAAAGCAGGCTCCAGGCTCCGAGCTGTCAGCATAGAGCCTGACATGGGGCTCAAACCCACAGACCACGAAATCATGACCTGAGCTAAAGTCAGATGCTTAACTGACTGAGCCACCCAGACACCCTTAATTAAGAACTTTTAAAGAAGGGGTTTCCTAGGAAGTTTTGGCCATATGGAATAAATCAAATGCTCAATACTAAAGGTTATATTTTTGTTTTATCTTTTATCTATAGAACAGAGGAAACATGTTGCTTTTGGAAGTGAAACAGAAGAGGGTGAAAACCCTGATTATGAGACTAATATCCTGCCTCAGGCTGATTTTAATGATAAAGAAGATGAATTTAAGAAGGTATTTGCTACAAAATAACCTCATACAATGTTGTAGAATTATTACTCCTTGGATTATACATGACCCCCAACTGGTGCTTCTTCTAGGCAGTTCTGCAGCCGACCTGTATGGACTTACAACCAATCTGGATTTATAACAAAATCCAGAATATATAATTTTCAATGCTACACTGTAGGATCTGGCAAGATACAGCAAATCCTTTTAGTTTTCCCCAACACTATCACCTTTTAATGTGATTCTGTCAGTACAGTTATATATAATTATCTCCCGCTATTGTGATTGACCATGTTTTCTTATATAGTAAATGTCATACTTCTGGGATTGTAGTGAGAATTCATTTGACTCAAGATGTTTTTAGTTATTGTATTGAATAGAGTTACCTATATTGCAAGGCCACATTTTGATTCAGTTGAGCCCCAAGGATCTGCGTTTTTCACTAGCACCACAGATAGACTGTGGACTCCTCCCCAGGAGAAACCCTGGGTGGACAGAGTTTCAACACTGTGTTGAGATGTATTGAGAGTGGAGGTTGAGAAGGACTCATGGGGTTTCTTGTTCCTTTCTAAGCCTCACCCTTGTGGTCATGCCTCAGTTGTAAATGCAGCTCCCACATGTGTGCTAATCCCTGCTTTCTCCTCCTCCTGTCAGTTTTCTTTTAATCCCTCATATTCACCTTCTTTTCCTTCTTTCTCTATTTTACACCTCTAACACACACTGTAATACTGTTTTGGAAATGAATAGCACACATCTGTTCTACTTTCACCTTCTTTGGCAAGAAGGGTATCATCAATGGATGGAGAAGCACTTCCCCGCTAGACTAGATTTTAGCTGTTGATTTCTTCTCAGTACCATGCTCCAGGTGGCCATTATCAAGCAGTAGGAGTCAGCTGGAGTGAGGCAGTGTATGCCCATGCCAGCCATCCTTCTCTTCCTTTTTAAAAAAATATTTATTTTTGGGAGAGTGCAAGCGGGGCAGGGAGAGGAACAGATGATCTGAAGCAGCCTCTGCGCTGACAGTCTCACAGCGGTGAGCCAGGATGTGGGGCTGGAACTCACCAACCAAACCGGGAGATCATGACCTGAGCTGAAGTTGGTCGCTTAACCGACTGAGCCACCCAAGTGCCCCAGTCCTTCTCTTCCAATTGCATTCCCTTTGACACTGGCTGGGGTCCCTAGAGCAAGTCTGATTATCATCAAAGGAGGATCATCAAAGTTGGAGGATCACTTGAAGTTAGTTGCATTAGTGCAGTCACCACCTACATAGCCTCTGCCTCTCCCATCCATCATCCTCCACAGTGCTGCCAGAATGGTCTATCTAACATAAAAAACTGACTCTGTCATGCCTGTGTTTTAGCCTGGCAATTCACCAGCCCCGATCATATTTCTCTTTGCTCATGCCTGATAACCCTGTCTTCTGATCCAACTCAACCTGGCTGGTCCACCCTGTCTCAGAGGAGCAGGGCGTAGAATGGATAGGAACACTATGGCCAGAGCCTGGCCCTGGAGGTGTGACTCATGACTCACCGTGCAAGCAAGACTTGGGATCCAGATCCCTGCCCAGGCTCAATACTTGTCCTGTGTTCTGACCAATAAACTTGGTGACTCCTCTGGAGGGAAAGAAGGGCTTAGACAGAGGGGCAAACCATGGTCCCAGGATGGTGGAAGTTTTATCCCATATACATTTAGTAATGTACATTTTAAAATACATTTATCCTCTAAGCTGAGCTTTTTGTTTATTTTATTTTTTTCACTTTAGTGTGGAATCTTTTATTTATATTATTTTTTAATATAATTTATTGTCAAGTTGGCTAACATACAGTATATACAGTGTGCTCTCTTGGTTTTGGGGGTAGATTCCTATGATTCATCGCTTAATACAACATTTGTTGTTCATCTCAACAAGTGCCCTCCTCAATGCCCATCACCCATTTTCCCCTTCCCCTCTCCCCATCAACCCTCAGTTTGTTCTCTGTATTTAAGAGTCTCTTATGGTTTGGCTCCCTCCCTCTCTTTTTGTAACTATTTTTTTCCCCTTCCCTTCCCCCATGGCCTTCTGTTAGGTTTCTCGAGTTCCACATATGAGTGAAAACATATGATACGTCTTTCTTTGACTGATTTATTTCACTTAGAATAATACCTTCCAGTTCCATCCACATGGCTGCAAATGGCAGGATTTCATTCTATCTCATTGCCAAGTAGTATTCCATTGTATATATAAATCACATCTTTATCCATTTATCAGTTGATGGACATTTGGGCTCTTTCCATAATTTAGTTATTGTTGAAAGTGCTGCTGTAAACATTGGGGTACATGTGCCCCTGTGAATCAGCACTTCTGTATCCCTTGGGTAAATTCTTAACACTGCTATTGCTGGGTCATAGGGTAGATCTATTTTTAATTTTTGGAGGAGCCTCCACACTGTTTTCCAGAGCGGCTGCACCAGTTTGCATTCCCACCAACAGTGTAAGAGGGTTCCCATTTCTCCATATCCTTGCCATAAGCTGAGTTTTTGAAAGATAGACTTATGCCCATACCCCCGAGCATTAAGAAATGTACCATACTTAATAAGTGGTCCAACTTTTGAGGATTGAGCAAACCAGGATTATTTTGAATAAGGTGTTTTTGAGCTTTGGCTTTTGAGTAAGGTCTTACAGTTTACTAGGGGGTTTATGAAATGCAGTTATTCAAATATTGTTTTTTGTTTAAAAAATACACAAGTAATTTGGGATTGAAATTATTTCTACAATATAATTAAAATTGTATAGTTTATTATTTATCTTCACATGTCACTTCTAATATTGTATTATTGCTTTGGGGTGTTAAAGTTCTTATTTTCGACACTGAATTTAATAGTATTTCTTTTTTAAATGATTTTATTTCCAGGTATACAGCTCTATAATTTGACATCTGTATACACTACAAAGTGATCACCACCATAAGTCTCATTACCATCCATCACCACAGTTGACCCCCTTCACCCATTTCACCTACCTGTCAACTCCCTTCCCCTTTGGTAGCCACTGGTCTGTTCTTTGTATTTATGCATTTGTTTTTGTTTTATTGTGTTTGTTCATTTGTTTTGTTTTGTTTCAGATTCCACATGTGAGTGAAATTGTATGGTATTTCTCTCTCTTAGTCTGACTGACTTTGCTAAATATAATCCCCTCAAGGTCCATCCATGTTGTCACAAATGGAAAGATTTCATTCTTTTTTTAAGGCTGAGTAGCATTCTCCTGTGTAAATATACCACACCTTCTTTATCCATTTATCTATCAATGGAAATTTAGGTAGTTTCCATATCTTGGCTATTGTAAATAATGCTGCAGTGAACATAGGGGTGCATATATCTTTTTGGAATAGTGATTTCGTATTTTGGGGACAAATACCCAGAAATGAAAGAGCTGGGTCATGTGGTGGCTCTATTCTTAATTTTCCCATAGTGGCTTAACTGACTGAGCCACCCAAGTGCCCCTCATTTAAAGCAATTATTGATTAGAATATACCTATTGCCATTTTGTTAATTGCTTTCCGGCTATTTTTGTAATTTCTCTCTGTTCCTTTCTTCTCTTTCTCTCTTCTCTTGTGGTTTGATGACTTTATTTGTGTTCTAAGTTTCTCATTCCTTTCTCATTTTCTTTGTATTTTGCTTTGTGGTTGCTCTGAGGTTTACGTAAAATATCCCATTTGAATAGTAGTCTTTTTAAAATTGACAGTAACTGAATTTAAACACATTCAAAACTTTACTTTTTTCTGCCCCACTCCTGCTATTTATATTTTTGGTGACACACTTTACATCTGTTTGTTTTATACTTCCTTTAATTATTATAGTTTAGCTAATGTTACTGCTTTTGTCCTTTAACCTTCATGTTTGCTTTATATGTCAGTGACTCACTACCTTTGTTATATATTTACCTTTTCCAGTGAGATTTTTACTTCCATATGTTTTGTTATTATTAATTAGTGCCAATATTTTTCAGCATAATGAAATCCCTTTTACATTTCTTTAGGGCCAGTGTAGTGGTGATGAACTTTAGTGTTTGCTTAACTGGAAAGCTATTAATCTCCCCTTAAATTCTGAATGATAATCTTGCCACCTAGAGAATTCTTGTTTGGAAGTGTTTTGTTTTGTTTTTTTTTCCCTTTCAGTTCTTTGAATATCTCATGCCATTTCCTTCTGGCCTGTAAAGTTTCTGCTGAAAAATCTGATTGCCTAATGGGGTTTCCTGTGTATGTAACAAGTTGTTATTTTGTAACAAGGATTATTTTAAAAAAAATTTTTTAATGTTTATTTATTTTTGAGAAAGATAGAGAGAGACAGAGTGTGAGTGGGCGAGGAGCAGAGAGAGAGGGAGACACAGAATCTGAAGTAGGCTCCAGGCTCCGAGCTGTCAGCACAGAACCCCATGCAGGGCTTGAACTTATGAACCGTGAGATCGTGACCTGAGCCAATGTCGATGCTTAACCAGTTGAGCCACTCAGGCACCCCTCTTTATCCTTAACTTTTATCATTAAAAAAATTTTTTTTTATTTAGAGAGAGAGAGTGCAAATGGGGGAGAGGGGCAGAGAGACAGAGAGAGAGAGAGAGAGAGAGAGAGAGAGAGAGAGAGAATCCTAAGCAGGCTCCACACTCAGCATGAACCCTGACGTGGGGCTCAATCCCACAACTGCAAGATCATGACCTGAGCCAAAATCAAGAGTTGGATGCTCAACTGACTGAGCCACCCAGGTACCCTGGCTTTTTATCATTTTAATTATAATGTGTCTTGGTGTGGATATCTTTGGGTTCATCTTACTTGGACTTCTGTGCTTTGTGCACATGGATTTTGATTCCTTCTTCAGACTAGGGAAGTTTTTAGCCTTTATTTCTTTAAATAATTTTTTCTGGCTCTTTCTCTCTCTTCTCCTTGTGGGATCCCTATAAGCACTTTTTCCACATGATGTTGTCCCAAAGGTCCCTCATGATAGTTTCATTTTTCTTAATTCTGTTTTCATGTTGCTGCTTTGGGTGAGTTCCACTGCTTTTCTTCCAGCTCACTGATCTGTTCTTCTACTTCATCCCGTCTGCTGTTGAACCCCTCTAGTGTATTTTTCAGTTGAGTTATAACTTCTCTTTGGTACTTTATTTTATTTTCTCTCTTTGTTGAAGTTTTCATTGTGTTCATCCATTCTTCTCCCAAGGTTGGTGAGCATCTTTTTGACTGTTACTTTCATCTTTATGACTGTTACTTTATGACTGTTTACTTTATGACTGCTGCACTCTTTATCAGGTAGATTGCTTATCTCTGTTTCTTTTAGTTCTTTTTCTGAGGTTTTTTTCTTGTTCTTTTGTTTGGAACATATTCCTCTATCTCCTCATTTTGCCTAATTCTCTTGTGTTTGTTTCTACGTATCAGATTATTCATCTGCATCTCACAGTCTTAAAGGAGTGGACTTGTGCCCAGAATTTCAGTCTCCTCCTATCACCAGAGCCAGACACTCAAGGGGTGTCCCTTATGTGTGCTCTGTGTGCCCTTCTGTTGTGGCAGGGCTGTGATTGTGGCACAGTGGTGGGTAGACTTGTCACTCAGTCTGGCTGTAGGACATGGCTATGACTGCTGTGATACCATGGTGGGGGAGTTGATCTTGCCATGCCATCATCTTGACCCCAACTTTATTTTTTAAGTTTATTTATTTATTTTGAGAGAGAGAGAGAGAGAGAGAGAGAGAGAGAGAGTGCGCGCATGTGAGCAGGGGAGGGGCAGAGAGAGAGGGAGAGAGAGAATTCCAAGCTCTGTGGTCTCAGCACAGAGCCTGATGTGCGGCTCAATCCCACAAACTGTGAGATCCTGACCTGAGCTGAAATCAAGAGTCAGATGCTTAACCAACTGAGCCACCCAGGTGCCCTGAACCCAACTTTTAATATGATTTCTTGTTACAGGAATGTAAAGAGGTCTATGCTTTTTTCTCTCATCAATTGCTAGACAGTCTTCAAAAAGCTACACGGTTATCTTTGGACACAATGAAAAGAAGAATATTTGTTTCAAGGCAAGTTGAAAATATGCTGAATAAGTCTGGTAATGCTATCATAACATAATGCTAATATTACCTCTTATTTTGATAAATTTAAATTTAAAAATATAACATTTATGAAAAGACTGTATTAAAATATATGTGTAATACTGTAAGAATAGTGATCAAATGAACAGTCATGTTCCTAACATCCAGGCCAAGACAAAGAACATTCAACACCAGCATTCCCCTTATCAGTCCTTTCTCTGCTCACCGAAATGTAGTAACCACTATTCTGAACTTCATACTTATTATTGTCTTGGTTTTCCTTATAGTTTCCCAAGTTTGTATCCCTAATCAGAGTATTTAATTTTGCCTGTATTTATGCTGTTGTCAGTGTGATGTTTTTGCGATTCATCTATGTTGATATAATTTATTTTCACTTAGGTATAGTTGGAGTATACACAATCTGTTTATTCTCCTGGTGATGGTCATTTGGGTAGTTTCCAGTTTGAAATATTCTGAATAAAGCCAATGTAAACATTTTCGTACCTGTCTCTTGCTTCACTTGTTAAGAATGGAATAGTTGGGCCATGGGGTATGTGAATAGCTCATTTAACCATGCAGTGCCCAGCCTGAGAGTCCCCATGACTCCTCATCCTTGCATACAGTTGGTATTTTTCAATTAGAAAATTCTTGCCAAGAATGGGGTGTGAAATCTCATCTCACTGGGACTTAAATAATCATTTTCTTGGATACTGATGAGATTGAACATATTTTCATGACTGTGAGCCATTTGTGCCTTCTTTTCCTTGAAGTTTCCTTTTTTTCTTTTGTCATGTCTTGTCTTGACTAGGCTTGGCTTCTTTCCTTCCTTCATTTCTTTCTTTTTTGCCAATTTTTTTCTATTGGATTGGACTTATTTATGGACGTTCTCAATATATTACTTTGTTGATGATAATATAGCAGATATCTTCTCCCAGTTGTACCTGTCGTTTCATTCTCTTTATGGTATCTTCTGCTGAGTTTAAAGTATTCATGTTTATCAATATTTTCTTGGAAACACTAAAATTCATTGATCCTTTCCTTGTGATTTTTATGTCTTTTAAAAGAAATCTTTCCTTACCTCATAACGTCTTCTAAAATTTTATAGTTTTGTCTTCTATGTTTAGGGATTTAATCCACATGATACTGATTTTTGTGATTCTGTGAGGTAGGAGGCCAATGTATTTTTTTCCCATAATTATAAGTTAACCAAACAAAAGTTGTTGAAAAATTAACTTTTTTCTTTGAGAGGATTAAATTACATTGCATCTATAGATCAATTTGGAGAGAATTAGCATCCTTATAATATTGAGTCTTCCATCCAGAATCATGATTACCTCTCCATTTAAGTCTTCTTTACTATTTCTTAATGAAATTGTATAATTCTCTGTGTAAAAGTCTTGCACATTTTTGTTAGATTTATTCATTGGCTAATCATGGCTGAATTTTAATTTAATCACACTTACAATCTCCCAACGTGATTGTGAACTTGACAAATTTTCCTTCTGTTTTGTTCAGTTCTTGTTTTATGTGTTTTAAGGCTATGCTGTTAGGTGCATTATATTAGTTAAATTTGCTTAAAGCACTTTATCTTTTATTTTTATTTTATTTCTTTATGCATATTAATTCTAATTCCTCTAATTCTTTTTAGTCTGTCATTAATTTTACCTTACCAGCTTTTTTGGTTTATCACTTTTAGCCCTCTATTCAAACCTTACTGTGCAATTTTTTGTTTTATTTCTTAAAAGCATCATATACCTGATTTTTAAATTCAATCTGATTATCTCTGCCTTTTAGTAGAGTTTAATTTGTTTATATTCATTGTAATTTTTTGATATAGTTACACTTATGACATTTCCTTTTGTGTCTTCTTTTTAGTGTCTGTTTTCTTTGGTTCATTTCATTATCTGTTATTTTTGGGTTGGATCATATTTTCCTTTTATTTTCTTTACTATACTTCAGTTATTTAAGTAGTTACCCTTAAATTGAGAATACATGTATTTTGCTCCAGGTAAAAAAAAAAAAAAAAAAAAAAAAGAAGTACTGTCTATGGTTTTTCAGTTTTCTAGTCTTATTCTCACTACAAGGGCCTTGGCATGATTTACTCACTGAACAGTATCTACCTCATTATTGCTGCTTGATGTTTTAGTTTTGCCTTTTTTTGAACACGTAAAAATAATTTATTTACTGGCATATTGTAAAACACCTCCAGATTCTTGTGTATTTCTTATATCTCACTGGTTCCTTAGTCAGGGTATATGAGGGGTAAACGCTCTTATTCTTTATTTTAAGTCTGAGAAATGCCTTTTTTGCTCTCACAATTCCATGACAGTTTAGGTGGATAAAAAGTTTTTGTTTGTCTCTCAGCACTTTGAATGTATTTCATTTTTTTCTGACTTATAATGTGGGTGATGAGAAGTCTGCACTAAGTCTAACTAAAGATTGTTTTTTATCCTTGATGTTCTTCAGCTTTCTTTCTTTGTGTGGATTTGTCTTTATTTAATCCTGCTTTGTTCTCAGAGTGCACTTTCTATTTCAAGGTGTCTGGCATTCCTTAATCCTGGAAAATCCTCAGCAATTTCCTTTTCAGTTGTTCCTTCTGGGAAATTCCTTTCTTTCTCTTCTTACGGAACTTTAAGTAGTTGAATGTTGAATAGGTTGACCACATGATCTATTGTTCCAAACAGGATACTGTTTCAAGTGTAGGGGCACTACCCAGATGAAGTGTCAGGGCAGATTTAACCCGTAACTGTTCTGGGAACAATGGATATGCAGTCATCGCAAATCTTGGGGCTTTCAGTCTGTCCTCCGTGTCTCCTAACTACTCTGTCATATACTTTGTCTTTTTGCCTTTCTGGGCTATGTTATGAGCAAGTTATCTCTCTTTCTAGTCTAAAGATGATCTCATCTCTCTCATCTTAAATATTTCAACTAATACTTTTTTCTTATTTTCCAGGCATTGTATTATTTCTTTATTTCTAGTTTAGTAACTTATTATGCTGGGAGAAAATAACTTTCATTTATCTCTTTGAATATTATCAATTTACTTATTTTAGAGTTTGTTCTACTTCTATACATTGATTTTATCTGGAGTGTGTTTTTGTTTCAATTATTAATTCCTTTCATTCTCTTTCTTACTGTAAGACTTATTCATGCCTATTGGGATTTTAGTTTATAGAACTTCACTGAATGAAAGGTGTGCGTGTGTGTGTGTGTGTGTGTGTGTGTGTGTGTGTGTGTTATGTTTCTCTCTCCCACCCTGCCTCCCTATATAGGAGTTTTACTTTTGTCTCCCATGATCCTGGGAACCTTGATATAGACCCGAGTCTTATTTGTTCACGATATCTGCCCACTGAAGAGATACGGGGGATACAGCAGGTTCAGCCAGGGAGTACACAAGTGACCTGACTTAACTGCTTCCTGGGGATGCTGTGGATTTGTTTCATCACCCCAGGCCCTTACCTTCTGGAGATGTTGTAGCTGCAGACAGTAGGTTGATGGACTATGCTTTGTTTTTGCTTTGCCTCTTTACAAGTGGAGGAGGATTACCTTAGCTTCTGGCTTTGAATCCGCAGGCCTGGCTGAGGCCCTATCTCACATGGAGTGCTTTCAGTGCCTCAGAGTCCATAGGAGCCAACCTTCCACTGTCACTGCCTAATTCCTGACCAGACTCCTGGCCACGCTGTTTATGTGTTTCTGACCGATTTCTGAGTCATGGACGTGCTAACCTTGCATTTGAGTATCTTCATGTCCTATGCATTCTAGCCATGATTGTTACATATTTGGCACAAAGAGTGGTTTTGAAGTCTGAACTTGCTATGCCACGTTGACATATAAGTCCTATAGCATTAAGTCATTTTTGAAAAGACACACATGAGCATGATACTGCAACATCCTCCTTTGTCTAAAATGTCTTTTTCTTACCCTAACACATGAATGCTGGTTAGGTCAGCTTGGATCACAATCTCTTTCTCTCACACTCTGTAAATATTGTGTAAATATTGGCTTCTTTTGTTCCTACTTTCAGTTGAGGGTTCTGCTGTTAATCCAGTTTTCTAAATAACACCCTGTTGTTTTGAGCTTATAGGATTTCTCCTGTTACTCTGGAAATTCACAAATTGTATGTTTTTGTGTAGGTAATTTTTCCCATTAATCCTGTCAGGCGCACAGGACTCTTTTCAATATGATAAAACAAGTCTCTTCTGAAGATGAGAGAAGAGCTGTGCTTTAATCAACCATATGTAAGATTCATGTGCTGGATCTAGGTAGTAAAGTGTCTCTCGGCTGAGTGACCCTCCGTAAGTTACTCAGCTTCTCCCTACCTTGGTTTCTTCATCTGTAAAATGCAAATAATAATCACAAGATCTGCCTCACATAGTTAATGTGAGCATGAAATGTGTGGATTCATGGAAAGTGCTTGGAAGAGTGCCTGGCATACATTAAGCATTCAATAAACATTACTTTTCCCTAATTTTTTCTTGCCTTTTCTTTAAGTAATATCTGTCTCTGTATTTTGCACCTGAAATTTTAGAAAATTCTTTAATCTCTAGTTTGTCAAATAAGTTACTGAATGATCTAGTGTGCTGTTCACTGCCTCTGTTACTTCAGCTGTTTGTTTATACTTTATAAAACTCCTTCTTGTTCTCAGATTGTGCTCTTTTAAATACAGTTTACACTTGTTTTATTTTTGCATCTTGGATTTCAGAACGGGATTATGAATTAGAGGTCTTTTTCCCTTTGCTTGCTTTGGTTTGAAGAGTTCCTTCTAATAATATGTAATGTTGGGTCTTCACATTGAACTGTGGAAGCTTTGTGTTACTTAGATTTCCGCCCCTCCACCCCCCCCCATCTTTATAAAGGAAGGTGTAGTTTTTCAGTAATGACAGCATTTCTTGCTGTGGAGAGCAATGAGACATTTATTATAATTTTGTCTAGGGTGGGGACAGAGGTCAAGGCGGAGGGAGATCACCAATTTATAGCTGTGATGTGTGTTCTTCATTACTTGCACTTGTGTGTCTGTATGTCTGTACTTCTGCCTGAGCAGGAGTATGTTGTTTACAAAAGCAGTTTTTGGAAGGCTTTGACCAGAAACCTCCTGTGTAATCTTGCAAAAAAGTGTATATATGAAAGTATAGGAAGGTATATGCTTTTTGTTGGTGATCTTGTCTGGCATCTGTTACAAGGCTGGGAACAGGCAGTGCTTTTAGTAAACGTTATTAAATGGTTATTACTGAGAGAGAGAGCAACATTAAAATACTAGAAAATGTATAGGAGACTAATATTTTACTTCAAATAACATTAACGTGTTTTCTTAGTTCTCTGAAATTTATGGTTTCATTATAAATAACCTTCTCCATGTAATTTGGTATTTTGAAAATGGTCTTTATTTTTAGGATTGAAAATGGTAGCATAATCAAGCTATTTATGAAACTTTAGGTTAAGTTTTATAAGTTCAATGTGTATCTTATTATAGCCAATATGGACGAAGGCGATCAGAAGATGTTATTTCCTTCATAAAAACTGAAGTGCATCTTGCGATTCCAAATGTGGTAAGTATAATTAATATTCAAGTTAATATAATGATATTCTGGTAACTTTTAAAGAAATATAGGACTACCACTGAACTTTCATTTAGAATAACCTCTCGGTTCTACATATTTTTTAAATGTTTATTTATATTTGAGAGAGAGAGAGGGCGAGCGAGGGAGGGACAGAGAGGGAGAGAGAGAATTCTAAGCAGGCTTTGCGCTGACACAGGGTTCGATCTCACGGACTGTGAGATGATGACCTGAGACGAAATCAAGAGTCAGACGCTTAACTGACTGAGCCACCCAGGCACGCCCTATGTATTTTTTGGTTTTATCTGAATATTTAACAAAAGCAGAATGTGATTTTTATCCATTATAAAATAATTACTCTGCACAGTTCATGGTGTATTGAAGGATGGTGTAAGAGATGAGTTAAGCATCTCTGTTCAGCCATCAGTTAGCAAGTACTTGAAAAGCATTCTTGCTTTTTCTTTCTTCAAGCATTAAATTATCTAAATAGTCCATCTCAGAAGTCCACATCCCGACAGCAAACACACAGCTGTAAGGTAACCCAAAATGGCAGGATAGAAAGAAAGAGCCCATGCCCTGAGCACATGGACCCTGTGCCTTCTCCCGACACTTATTTTTACCACCGTCTCATGTCTCAGCTGCCAACTGGCATCTGGAACTCCGAGTCACACAGGATGATTGAGGTGCATTCTGTGATGAGCCATAGGATAAGGCCAGGCAGGAATGATCTGTGACTCATCTGTCGCCATCTACATCTACACAGCTTGGCCTCCTGGAGGACAGCTTCTTTGCCTGTTTGGCACATTTCAAAGAACTGAGGTCAGAACCTTGGCAGTATAGCTTCTTCAGTCATTTTGCTTCATTGGTATCCAACACACAGTCCACCATTTTTGGCCACATCCGGCCGCCCTCATGGGGAAAGTATGACAAGTACTATGCTTGACCTTTTAGCCTGCGGGAAATGATAGAATGGGAAAACTTCAGGATAGAGAAAGCCCACAGTCTACCCTCCTCTAATATCCCTCTCCTCAAAGCAGCATTCCACTGGGCCAGCTGAGGCTGTCCCACCCAGTGGGGGATGGGCTGGTGAGAAACAGAGGGATGGATGGCATGTGCTGCCAGTACCAGGAATTCATTTATTCTCTCCGTAGGTAATGGTTCCTAGTTTGGATGACATTCAACAAGCCATTAACCGTATGATCCAGCTAACCCTGGAAGTCAGCAGAGGAGTGGCTCACTGGGGGCAACAGCCGACCCGTCAAGTTAAACCTGTCGTCACCAGTCCCAGCCGTACTACTGACCTGATGCATTTAAACACAACAAAACAGGCAAAGAAGGAAGAGAGTAAGAGTATTAAAGCACATCTCCAATGAATAGAATCTTAGAATTATAACAACTAGTAAATCATCTTTATGATTGTTCCTGGGTATGACAGCATATAGTTTTTAAAAAATTATAATTCCAGTGCAGTTAACATACAGTATTATATTAGTTTCAGGTGTACAGTATAGTGATTCCACAATTCCATATATCACCCAGTGTTCATCAAGTTAAGTGTATTCTTAATCCCCTTCACCTATTTCACCCAGCCCTTAACCCACCTCCTCTCTGGTAACCATCTGTTTGTTCTTTATAGTTAAGAGTCTGTTCCTTGGTTTGTCTCTTTTTTTCTGTTTGTTTGCTTTGTTTCCTAAATTCCACATATGAATGAAATCATATTTTATTTGTCTTTTTCTGACTGGCTTGTTTCACTTAGCATTATACTCTCTAGATCCATCCATGTCATTGCAAGTGACAAGATCCCATTCTTGTTTGTGGCTGTCATTTTTATCATGTTTATTTGTAAATTTTGCTTAAAAGTAAAAAAATGAGTGTTCTCCATCTTCCATCATAAACATAACATACAGACATTTCCATCTATGTTTGGACATAGGGAACAAAGATTTTTATCATTGTTCCGCTATCGTAATCTTAGATTCAGAGGAAAATTACAACTAGGCTTAGTAAGAATTCTACTTTCAGCATTGTAGTTGGACCAATGAATTTAGTTTGCCAAAACATGGTGCTTAGAAGTTCTGGGTCGTATGTTCCTTGTACCTGAAGTACATATAAGCTATTCCCTTAAGTAATCATGGGTGTGATAGGGCACTGACCCAACGTTCCGTGGACATTTTTGGACACTTTCTTCTGTAGAAAGCCAAACTGTTTTTGATAAGTAAAAATTGCATATATTTAGGGTATACAGTGTGATTTTTTTGATATATGTTTACATTGTGAAATGATTACCACAATCAAAACAATTAATATGTCCATCACCTCCTACAGTTACCATTTTTTTGTGTGTATGTGTATGGTAAGAAGATTTGAAATTTACTCTCTTAGCAAATTTTGAGTATACATTAGTATTATCTGTGGGCACCATGCCATGCTGTACATTAAATTTTGCTTGTTTTCACATGTGCTGATGAAGTTGCCAATCTACTTTCATTAACCTAGGTCAGCTGAGGAAACTCATTTCGTTCTTTGGAAGTGTTCTGCTTTGACCTGCTACTGGGAACTACAGGGAAGGAATTGTGGCCTAAAGGAAAAAGATTAGGCTACTGTCCTGGCCATATCCCTGCTGGATTCCATTACATGGCTCATAAACACAGCCCTGCCAGATGTCCTGATTACGATGAGACCTGTATTTTCCAGATCATAAGCAATAGACTCACCTGTGATCATCCCCCATGGCTTCCCCACAAAGGGCTTTTGTAGATTTGGAGGAAAGCTGAAGCCAGACTAGATTCAAACTGTCCAGCTTATTTTCTGAGAACCTTTTTTATCATGGGCAATTAACATTCTTGCCTTTACAACTAGGTTTGTGTTTAGTACTCCGTTAAAAAAAATTCAACAATATATTGTTTAGAGATAACAATGTTGGCTTCTCTTCAAAGAAAATTCGGGATCCCGGTTACCTCTGGGAGTAAGGAAGGAATATGTAATTTTAGAGGACTTAGAGAGGACAACTGATATATTGTCACCATTCTCTCCTTAACCTAGGTGCTGAGAACATTGAAATAATTTTTCTTCTTACTTAATATATGTTTTATATATGTCACGTTCTTCTTTAACTACTGTCTTATATGCTTCTATATATATGATATATTTTAGTCACCCATACACATCCTTTTATCACACTAGGAATATGAAAGATTTTATGCTAATGATGTCTGTGGAAAAATTTAGAAGCATTTATTCCCATTTAAACTGAAGAATAAACAAGGAAGCCTGCTATCATTACTTTCATTCAATATTTTATTGGAGCAATCAGATGATAAAAAGAGATAATTGGAAAGGAAGACTAAGATTACCCTTATCTAAAGATCATCCAACAAATCTAGAAATGACTATTAGAACTAATAGGTTCAGTAATGTTTTTGTGTAAGAGACCAACATACAAAAGTGTTTCTTTTTTTTTTTTTTTCAACGTTTATTTATTTTTGGGACAGAGAGAGACAGAGCATGAACGGGGGAGGGGCAGAGAGAGAGGGAGACACAGAATCGGAAACAGGCTCCAGGCTCTGAGCCATCAGCCCAGAGCCCGACGCAGGGCTTGAACTCCCGGACCGCGAGATCGTGACCTGGCTGAAGTCGGACGCTTAACCGACTGCGCCACCCAGGCGCCCCCAAAAGTGTTTCTACAATGGCTAATAATTCAACTAGAATGTAATAGCATTATATGCCAATTATATCTCAATAAAGCTGGACAGAATGTAATAGAAAAAAAATAGGTTTTCAATAGCCACAAAACCATAAAGTACTTAATAAATAAATGTAAAAAATATTTGCACAGCATTTTTGGAGAAAATAATTATTATTGAATAGCATAATGGAAGATAGGAATAAACCTACAACCTGAAGAACTCAATTTTTTAATTTGCAAATTCAGTACAATTCCAATGAAATCACAACAGAACTTTTTCTATAATTTGTCAAATTAATTTTAATTACTTTTTCAAAATTATGTGGAAGTGCAAAAAGCCAAAAATAGCTCAAAATATTTATGAAGAAAAACAGGGTAGGGGTCCTGTCCTGCCACATAGGAAGAAGTATTATTAAGCCAGACTAATTAAGACAATTTCTTAATGGTCCAAGGATAGGTAATAGATTAATGAAATGGGACAGAGGGTGCAGGAACACTCATATGTATGAAAATTAGATATATAACACAGGTAGACTTACAAATCAGGGGGGAAAGAATGTGCTATTTATTTAATAAATGATACTAAGAACTTTTATCCATATGGAAAAACTTAAATTACATCACAAAAGTATCTCAAGGGGTGCCTGGGGAGCTCAGTTGGTTAAGTGTCCAATTCTTGATTTCAGCTCAAGTCATGATCTCATGGTTCATGGGGTAGAGGCCCATGTTGGGCTCTGTGCTGGCAGTGGGAAGCCTGCTTGGGATTCTCTCTCTTTCTCTCTGTGTCTCTCTCTGCCCTTCCCTCACTCATGCTTGCTCTCTCTCTCTCTCAAAATAAACAATAAACAATAAAAGTATCTTAAATTCATATCCATTATTCTATATTCTATAACACTGTTAAAAATATATGTATTCTGGGGCGCCTGGGTGGCGCAGTCGGTTAAGCGTCCGACTTCAGCCAGGTCACGATCTCGCGGTCCGGGAGTTCGAGCCCCGCGTCAGGCTCTGGGCTGATGGCTCAGAGCCTGGAGCCTGTTTCCGATTCTGTGTCTCCCTCTCTCTCTGCCCCTCCCCCGTTCATGCTCTGTCTCTCTCTGTCCCAAAAATAAATAAATGTTGAAAAAAAAATTAAAAAAATATATATACGTATTCTATTACACTGTTGGAGTCAAACATAACACCATATATTTATGACATTAGGGTAGGGAAAAATTCTTGAGACCTACAAAGTTCAAACCACAGAAGAAAATATGTTTAAATTTGACTTCTTTATATTTAAAAACATTCTTTAAAGGATCCTTACTTTTAATGACAATGCTGGAACCCTTACCCAAATGTTAGCAAATTGAATTCAGAAACATATAAAAAGGAGGCTATATTATAACCAAAAGAGGTTTATCCCAGAAATACAAGATTTAAAAAAAATACATCCTGTTAATAGAATAAAGGACAAAATCACATGATTACCTCAGTAGACACAGAGAAAGAATTTGTCAAAATCTACCTCTTTCATGTTAAACTTAAGAGTGTGGGGATAGAATTGAACTTCTTCAACCTGATAAAGGGCAACTGTGAAGAACTTAGAGCCAACATCATACTTAATGGTGAAAGACTAAATTATTTCCCCCTAAGATCAGGAGCAAGTTAAGAAAGCTGGCTTTCCCTACATCTATTCAACATTATACTGGAGATTCAATCCCGTGGATTTAATAAGAAATTAAAGATATACAGATTAGAAAGGAAGAAGCAAAACTGACTTTATTTAACATATAACATTATCTTGTATGTAAAAACATCCTCAGGAATACATGCACATACAAAACTGTTAGAATTAATAAATGAGTTCAGCAAGTATGCAGGATATAAGATCGACATACAAAGCTCAATTGTATTTCTAACTACTTGGAATGAACAATCTGAAAATGAAATTAAGAAGACAATTTCATTCATAATACTATCGTAGAGAATAAATTTAACCGAAGAAGTGTAGGGGCCTGTACATCGGAAGCTACAAAACATTGCTGAAAGGTAACACCATGTTCATGGATTGGAGGAAGACTCAGTACTGCTAAGATAGCCATTCTCCCAAATTGATCTATAGATTTGGTGGACTTTCTATCAAAATTTAGAAAGCTGTTTTGCAGAAATTGAGTTGATCCTAAAATTTGAATAGGAAATAGGGAAATGCGAGGAACTATAATAGCCAAAATTAGTTTGAAAAAGGATAATAGAGCTGGAATACTTGATTTCAAAACAGACTACAGAGTTATAATAATCAAAGCAGTGCAGTATTCGCCTAAAGATAGGCATGTAGATCAGTGGGACAGACTAGGCAATCCAGAAATAAACTTTAGAGTCAGCTGACTTTCTGAAAGGATATGAAGTAAAAAAATGGGGCAAGTGATTGTCTCTTCAACACACAGTGCTGGAACAATTAGATATACGTATGCAAAAAAAAAAATGAAGTTGGACTCTTAAACCATGCAAAGGAATTAACTCAAAGTCAATTATACAAGGACTAAAGCTATAAAAATTTCTTTAGAAAGAAATTTAAAAATTTTAAGAAATTAGTGATTTGGGGTTATATAAAAATTTCTCAGGTATGACAGCAAAAACATGATCCATGACAAGGAGAATGGACAAACTGGACTTCAGTCAAAGTAAACACGGTTGCTCTTCAAAAGACACTATTCAAAACATTAAAAAGGGAAGCCATATATTTGGAGAAAATATTTGCAATGCACACATCTGGCATAAAGTACTTGTATTCAGAATATATAAAAAACTCAAACTGAATAATAAGACTATCTCCCTCCCCAAATTGTCAGAAGATTAGTTCAACAAAGAAGGTGCATGAATGGCTAAAAAACACATGAAAAGATGCTCAACTCCGTTAGTATTAGGGAAATACACATTAAAACTATGATGATACACCACAGCACACCTATTAGAATGAATAAAAATTTTTAATAATCTTCAATACCAATTGTTGATAAAGAGCCTGAAACTTTAAGGCATCGCTGGTGGGAATGTACATAAAGGTACAGCCACTTTGGAACCAGTTTGGCACGTCCTTAAAAAGTTGAACATACCTGTACCATTTGGCTCAGGAATTCCACCCCTAGGAATTTATCCAAGACAAATGAAATCATATGTCTGTGTAAAGATGTGAATGTTTATGCTGCATTATTTGTTAATAGCTTCAAATTGCTAGCAAACCAGATGTCTAAAAACTGATCAATGGATAAACAAAATGAGGTATATCTACACAGTGGGATGCTTCTGTGCGATAAAAGGGAAACAACTACCAGGACATGCAACATTAGTTACTTAGTTAATTCAGCCAAATACCGTGTACTTTCTTTTGCTTTAATTTTGATTAAAATTAAAACAAAAGAGCAAATGAGTGACGTGGTCTTAGAGGGGACTGGCAAATTCACCAGGGATGCCCTTTTTAGAGATGCTTCTCAGCTTCAGCTAATTCTTGCCATGCAGGAACATGGACCCTGTACTACCAGATTAAATCTTTAAAAAAAATTTTTAACGTTTATTCATTTTTGAGAGACAGAGACTGAGCATGAGTGGGGTAGGGAGCATGAGCGGGGTAGGGGCAGACACAAACACACACACACACGCATGCACACATGCACACACAGAATCCACAGCAGGCTTCAGGCTCTGAGATGTCAGCATAGAGCCCAATGTGGAGCTTGAACCCACAAATTGTGAGATCATGACCTGAGCTGAAGTTAGATGCTCAACTGACCAAGCCCCCCAGGTGCCCCCCAGATTAAACCTTTTTAATTTTTTTTTGCATATATTTATTTTTGAGAGACAGAGACAGCATGAGCAGGGGAGGGGCAGAGAGGGAGACACAGAATCAGAAGCAGGCTCCAGGCTCTGAGCTGTCAACACAGAGCCTGATGTGGGGCTCGAACCCATGAACCGTGAGATCATGACCTGAGCCAGAGTTGGACGCTTAACCGACTGAGACACTCAGGCGCCCCAAGATTAAACCTTTTTAAAAGAGAAGTTGAAAATCTGGAATTGCACATGAAATATCATGATTTTTAATTGTTCACAGCTGTTTTGAAAAAGTAAGGCATTGTTTGGACCAAATAAAAGTATTTGTATAGTCTCTGTCTGATGGGGAATACTTGACAATTTTGATCAAGGCAGTGACATGATCAGATTTTCGCAAGAGATGTTTATGGTAGTGTCTAATAATGATTGCATGATCTCTATATACCGGATGCTGAGCTGAGGACAAACATAAATTGTCTCATTTAATCCTCACAAGTATTTCCATGAAGACTGAAAAGATTGCAGCTGCTCTGGAAAAGTGTGGAGGTTCCTCAAAAAATTAAAAATAGATCTACCCTGTGACCCCGCAATAGCACTGCTAGGAATTTACCCAAGGGATACAGGAGTGCTGATGCATAGGGACACTTGTACCCCAGTGTTTATAGCAGCACTTTCAACAATGGCCAAATTATGGAAAGAGCCTAAATGTCCATCAACTGATGAATGGATAAAGAAGTTGTGGTTTATATATACAATGGAATACTACTTGGCAATCAGAAAGAATGAAATAAGGCCTTTAGTGGCAATGTGGATGGAACTGGAGAGTGTTATGCTAAGTGAAATAAGCCATACAGAGACAGGTACCATATGTTTTCACTCTTATGTGGATCCTGAGACACTTAACAGAAGACCATGGGGGAGGGGAAGGAGAAAAAAAAGAGAGGGAGCGAGGCAAACCATAAGAGACTCTTAAAAACTGAGAATAAACTGAAGGTTGATGGGGGGTGGGAGGGAGGGGAAAGTGGGTGATGGGCATTGAGGAGGGCACCTGTTGGGATGAGCACTGGGTGTTGTATGGAAACCAATTTGACAATAAATTTCATATTAAAAAAAAACTGGCCAAAGGTTATATGGGTAATAAGTATGGGGCATCTCTTTTAACCACCATACTGTTCTATAGAGCAACAATTTTAGCTCTTTTGACCTTTCTTTCCTTGAAGGACTTATGTGGCAGTGGGGTGGGGATGTTTAATCAGTGTCTTTAAGTTCTGTTCTCTGAAAGCAATTTTCCCACATTAAAGAAATCTAGGCCTCAAAATCTGACACAGTGGTTTAGGCAAGCCATAGGAGACTCATAAATACAGAGAACAAACTGAGGGCTGCTGGAGGGGTGTTGGATGGGGGGATGGGTTTAATGGGTGATGGGCTTTAAGGAGGGCACTGTTTGGGATGAGGACTGGGTGGTGTTATATGCAAGTGATGAATCACGGGAATCTACTCCTGAAGCCAAGACTACACTGTATGTCAACTAACTTGAATTTAAATAATAATAATAAAAAAAAGAAAATCCAGCTTGAAAGAAGTCTGTAAATATTAAAATTGATAATATTTGAAGTTGCATATAGAAGTTATCTCTCTATAAAACCATCTGTTTTCAGAGCCTGTGGAAGAAGTAATTACTGCAAGAAAGCTGAAGAATTTTTATCCAGGGGTAGCGGAGCACAAGGATATTTCCAAATTGGTCCTCCTCCTTTCTTCCTCTGTGAATTCTCTACGGAAGGTGGCTCATGAGGCCTTGCAGGACTTTCAAAAGTACAAGACGCTCTGGACAGAGGACCGAGACGTGAAAGTGAAGGTGTATTTTGGCTAATTGTGATGCAGTTTGGGTTTTAATTGTTTATATCTAACGTGTGTGAGAGAAGCAGGAAAGTATCAGAATGATGACAGGAACTCATGAGCAGAGGTCAAGAACCTGAAAAGGCCAAGCATCTAACATAGTGGATTTTGTGCCGTACTCACAGTGACACTGTGAGGCAACTGAGGGTAATGAGGCTCAGGCAGGTTTCGTTTAATTTGTGTAAACAGTTGGGTACCAGTTATGTTCCAGACATTCAGAGGCTGGGTATTCAAGGGCGTGTCACGCTTACATAGATTCAACTGTATTTTTGGTTAGAGACTTAAGGACACATGAATAACTCAGTTAGTTATTCATGGTGGACTATGAAATTTCCTCACTTGGCCTCATCTCCTCATCTTCTGGTACTACCAGTTCATCCCTCTCTTTACTGAGCTACTGGCCAGATATGCAAGTGGAAAAATATATAAGGAAAAAAAAAAAGAAAAAAAAAAAAGAGAAAAAGCAGTGTGAAATTTATACTGTCCAAAAGTTAAAGAAAACATTGTTTCCTGTTTCCTTACTACAGGAGTTTTTGGCTAACAACCCCTCTCTGACTGAAACCAGATCAGAAATTCTACACTTTGCTACTTTTGAACAGGAGATTGATGAGTTGAAGCCTATTATTGTTGTAGGAGCACTTGAACTGCATACAGGTATTTTTAAAATGTGATGTAAAGTGTCTGTATTTTCATATGAAATGTTACGTTATGTAGAAAGCAGTTACTAAGCTACCTTTCATATACATATATGGTATACATATATACATGCATATACGTTATATATAATCTGTATGTTATATAATATATTATTATATATTCTTCATACATAATATACAAGGGTGGCTTAATACAATCAGTACACTGCCCAAGTCCTCAATTGGCAAACAAACTACACTTGAAACACTTTTTGGGGTTACTATGAGGAGGGAGTTGTATACATGAGATAAGAGTCAGACAGTTTGAGGTTTCCTGAGAAGCTAATCCACTTGGGATTAGAATATCACAGGATGATGAGACAGCCATTCAATATCTGAAATACAAAGCCCAAGCTAATTTTACTGACTACAAGACTAAGGGAGAGCTGTGCTGCTCAGGCACAGTGTTCTCCACAGAGCACACTGCCCCATCTCATACAGGGTGTCTGGGCGGCATGGAGCTCAAGCACTATGGGTGTAGATAGGTTAACATCACCTGTAGAAGGATGCTTACTCAGGTGAGACTGTTGTTGATGGGTTGGTGCTCAGAGGTGGGCTTATTGGATATGTTCTTTTTGATTGGTTGACATTCAGAAGGGAGGGGCTGGTGCTGATTGGTTGGCAAAAGCATGGAAATTGAGGTCTGTTGGTCTGCGGTTTGGGTTTAAAACTGGGTTGTGGTGGCTCCTTATTGCCATGGTTACAGAGATACAATCAATCTTGCTTGAAGTTTGTGAGAAGATTTTATTCTCAGGAGATATTCGAATGACCTATTTTACAACAACTATCCATTGTAAGTAGATTTGCAGGTCTATCCTTAAGGAGTAAGTGTAACTGACTCTCAAATTTGACTATCAAGGTTACCTGACCTCTTTAACTGCCGTCTCTTCTGCTGATGATAATGACAGTGCCCACCTCATGAACTACTTTATATGAGACACTTGACATAGTACTTGACAAGTAGTTGAGTTCAATAAATATTAAGTGCTATTATTATATCTATCAAGAAGGTATTTAATTTGGGGAAGAATCACAAGCACTTGGAGGGGATATTCAGTTAGAAACCAGAAACTATACCTCAGGGGCAATCATTCCAAGAACTGTAGACTTTTGGAAAATTAATTTGCCTATTATTATTACTATCATTTAAACTTCCCATTTGTTTTCTCATAGTGGTTAGTGCTGTGATTCCTCATACACAAATCAACTCTAGCACAGTGTGAGAGTTGGCTGGTGGCTTGATTTTTGAGAAAGGAAGCTGAAAAATGGAATAGGTGGCAATAGTTCTGAAGAAAGGGGAAGGAGGGCTGAATGCTTGGGGCCTGAGGAAAAGGAGAAGAGAGGTCCACGAGGTGCAGACCTCATGAGATAAGATCTCACAGCTTCAACCCACAGGTTGACTGTGCATCTCTTTTCAGGCTGCTGTCTCCTCAGCTCCCTAGTCCTCTCAGTCTGTTGGGAATTGCAGGGGAAGCGATCATGTTTCAAGCATGGCAGGGCTGGGGGTTTGAGAGATACCAAGAGAGGAAAAGAGGAATGTGTGAGGATTGTTAAGATAGAGTTGACTTTAGAACTGCTTTGTTTTCAAGGAACAGAAACCTCTCTGAGCTTTTTTATGAGAAAACCATATATCCCAGAATCCAAGAGGCAACTGGGCCTTAGGCAGCAACTGTCCCAACCAGAACCAGGGACAGTACAGGAAGCTGAGGAAATCCACTCTCTCTGCCTCTCATTTCTTCTTCCCTCTGTGCATGACTTTTTCTGCTTCCCAGACCACATGGTTCCCCCTCAAGTCTCATTCCAAACAAGAAAAGGATTCTTAATGTCAGATAGAAGGTCAGGATTGACTGGGACAATCAGGCCCAGGTACAAGGTCAGGTTATACACATTCTCTAATATGTGGATGAGGTAGGGAGTGGAATAATGGGAAAATGAGGACAGGTTTGGCAGACAAAAGAATATATTACACTCCACTTTGTGGGGTTACCTAGAAGAATATGGAGGACTGAATGAGGGCTGCTAACGGGATGACCAGAAACAGAGCAAAGTTCACCTTGGGCAGTGCTAGAACTAATTTCGAAAATTCTTCTCCATAGACTCTAGTGTCCTTCTCATGTACAGCTTAACATACTCTATAGGGAGAGGAATTGCGTCTTCAAAATGTAGTAACTTTATAGCACATTTAATTTAGACTACATTTCAAGTGTTCAGTAACCACATGTCTCTAGTGATCATCAAATAGGGCAGTACAGTGATGGATGCTCAGATTAGACATGAAGTAAATAGTTTCAGTATGTCAGTTGTATTCTGATCTTTTTTCCTCTTCCCCAGGGCCAATGAAATTGGCCTTATCAATTGAGGCTAAAGCATGGAAGATGTTACTCTGTCGATATTTGAATGAAGAATACAAAAAGAAAATGTCAGACATGATAGCATTCATCAATGAATACTTGAAAAAGTTATCTAGACCTATCCGTGATTTAGATGATGTCAGATTTGCAATGGAAGCCTTAGCATGTATCCGTGATAATGAAATTCAAATGGACATGACTTTGGGACCAATTGAAGTAAGAAATGATTGCATTTTTTTTTTCTTTCTTGAGATGCTTTTCAAAAAGGAGAGAGGGGTACCCGAGGGGCTCAGTTGGTTAAGTGTCCGACTTCAGCTCAGGTCATGATCTTGTGGCTTGTGAGTTCGAGACTTGTATCAGACTCTGTGCTGACAGCTCAAAGCTTGGAGCCTGCTTTGGATTCTGTGTCTCCCTCTCTCTGACCCTCCCCTGCTTGCACTCTGTCTCCCTATCTGTCTCAAAAATAAATAAACATTTAAAAATTATTAAAAAATTTAAAAAGACACAAACACACACACATGAAAATTGATCCTGTTAACATACTTCATCTATTTTATGGCATAGTCTGCCTCTTTCTCCTTTCTGATTTGATGTCGTTGGAGAGATTTTGACAATTATCAACAGTGAACAGTATACAAAGGAATATTGATATTTAATAATGCTGAATTGGTCTAGACAGTGTTCAGTTTTTTTATGGTAACACCAACATTTTACAGAAATGAATGGTTTTGTGCTTTCATGTCAGTCCTGACATGGTAGCCAAGTTCCCCAAATATCTTTAGCTTTCTTTAGAAACCACTTACAGGTCTCACTCCTGATCAATGGCATACTCAGGGCAGCATGGTGGGAGCAGTACACTTAGGCTCAATAGTAAACTGTTGGAACTAAGATCGGAAATATTTTTAGGGTAGAGTACTGTATTAGTTTCCTACTGCAGCTATAACAAATTACCATAAACTTAATGGCTTAAAACAACATAGATGTATTATTTTATAGTTCTACAGATCCTAAGTCTGAAAATGGATTTTATGGGGCTAAAATCAAGATGTCAGCAGAGCTGTATTCTTTCTGGAGGCTCTTAGGGAGGGGGGATTCCATTCCTTGCCTTTTCTAGCTCCTAGAGGCCACCTCTATTCCTTGGCTTACAGCCCCTTCCAGCAGTGGTGTCACTCCTGCCCCTGCTTCAGCTTCACATCTCTGATTCTACTCTCCGGCCTCCCTCTTGCCCTTATATGGACCTTTGTGATTACATGGGGCCCACCCAGTTTATCCACGACAATCTGCCCATCTCAAGTTTTTTAAACATAATCACATCTGCAAATTTCCTTTTGCCGTGTAAAGTAACATAGTCATAGGTTGTGGAGATTAGGATGCAGACAACATTGGAGAGGCCATTATTTTGTGTACTACAAGTATTTTATGACTCATATTTAAATTCCTGGCTCATACTGATAATAAAAATCAGAGTCTTAGTTTATATTATGACTCTTTTAAAAAAAATTCTCTAAATTAAATCTAAATTTAAATTTAAATTCAAATTCTGTAAGGAACATTCTCCCTTATTCCCCAAAATACCTGCGGGATTGGCATTCTCACTGCCTCTGTTTGGTATGCCAGTGCTCATAGTCGAGTATTGCCTTCTAAAAACCATTTAGTGTTCATACTCTCTGGTAGCTAATGCACTTCATATCTTTAATACCTCTTTAAATCTTAGTGTTTGGGAATTTTTGATACCTGACCATCCATTCCTCAAGATTTAACAAATTATCATATCATTTTTTCTTGACTACAGAAACTTTATTCTTCAGCATAAATTCTTTTGGTAAATCCATTTGCCAGTCCATTCCTCTGGTCATTCAAGTCTCTTTTCTTCAGAATATCTCCCATATCATTGTTTCATTCTATTTTTTACATAGCCAGCCCTTATTTGAATAGAGTAATGAGAAGATATTTTGCATGGTGTTGCACAAGATCAAGGAGGAGAGAGAGAGGCAGAAAATGATTCTAGGGATATTTTCTAGGATAGTATTTCCTAGAAATACTAGGATCTGCCCACATCTCCATCAGAATCACTTAGGTGCTTATTAAATGCAGATTTCAGGACCGAGGATCTAGAGTAAATATCTGGTATCAGTTAGAATCTAGAGGCACTTTTTATACACGTTTAATTTAGGAACCACTCTTCTGGAATGTACTGTCTTCTTCTAAGAATGGGGAGAATAGCAATGTGTTTTTGAAGGAATCTAAATCATTTGTCAATTGCTTTCCTTGTGATGTTTCTGAACTCTACTCCCACTCTCCAGGAAGCCTATGCTATTTTAAACAGATTTGAAGTTGAAGTAACCAAAGAAGAATCAGAAGCAGTTGACACCTTGAGATATTCTTTCAACAGATTGCAGAGCAAAGCTGTAAGTATAAATTTAATTCTTATTTTTTTTAGAAGTCCCTATCTCTAGAAAAATTTTTTTCATACATTTTAAAGCTTAAATATATGTATTTTAAGAGCTTTATTGAGATATAATTTACATACCATAAAATTTACTATTTCAAAGTATATGAAAAGCGATTTTTAGTATATTCATAGAGTCACATAACCACCATTATTATCTACTTTTAGGACACTTTCGTATTCCCAAGAGAAACCCCATACTCACTAGCAACCACTTCTTCTTCCTCTTACCCCAGTCACTAGCAACCACAAATTTACTTTTTTGTCTCTGTGGATTTGTCTTTTCTGGACATTAATATAGATGGAATCGGGGCGCCTGGGTGGCGCAGTCGGTTAAGCGTCCGACTTCAGCCAGGTCACGATCTCGCGGTCCGTGAGTTCGAGCCCCGCGTCGGGCTCTGGGCTGATGGCTAGGAGCCAGGAGCCTGTTTCTGATTCTGTGTCTCCCTCTCTCTCTGCCCCTCCCCCGTTCATGCTCTGTCTCTCTCTGTCCCAAAAATAAAAATAAAAACTTTGAAGAAAAAAAAAAATTTAAAAAAAATAAAAATAAAAAAAATATATAGATGGAATCATATGATATGTAGCCTTTTGTGACTGGCTTCTTTCATTTAGCATAATGTTTTGAAGTTTATCCATGTTGTCCTATGTACCATGACTTTATTTCCCTAGTGTCTAATGATGTTGAGCATCATATACTTATTGGCCATTCATCCATCTTGTCTGGAGAAATGTGAACTTAAATACTTTGCTATTTATTTATTTATTTATTTATTTATTTATTTTTAATGTTTATTTATTTTTGAGAAAGAGAGAGCAAGAATGAGCTGGGGAGGGGCAGAGAGAGGGGAGGATAGAGGGTCTGAAGCAGGCTCTGCACTTACAGCAGCGAGCCAGATGCGGGGCTCGAACTCATGAACCGTGAAATCATGACCTGAGCCGAAGTCAGACGCTCAACTGACTGAGCCACCCAGGCACCCCAATACTTTGCTTTTTTAAAAAAAATGAGTTGTCTTTTTATTTTTGAGTTGTAAGAGTTCTTTATATATTTTGGATATAAGTCCTATATCAAAGGATTTGCAAATATTTTCTATCATTCTGTGGGTTGAATTTTCAATTTCATTTTCTTTTTTTTCTTTATATTTTTCAAGTTTTTGCTTGAATTCCAGCTAGTTAAGGCATAATGTAATATTAGATGTAGGTGTACAATGTAGTGAGCCAGTACTTCCCATTGAACACCCAGTGCTCATCACAACAAGTGCACTCCTTAATCTCCGTCACCTGTTTAACCCATCCCCCACCAACCTCTCCTCTGGTAACCATCAATTTGTTTTCTGTCTTTAAGAGTCTGTTTCTTGGTTTGCCTCTGTCTGTCTGTCTTTCTGTCTGTCTCTCACTCTCTCTGTCTCTCTCAATCTCTGTCTCCCCCTTTGCTCATTTGTTTTGTTTCTTAAATTCCACATATGGGTGAAATCATATGGTGTGTGTCTTTGACTGACTTATTTCAGCCCCATCCATGTTGTCAGGGAAATGCAAATCAAAACTACAATGAGATAGCACCTAACGCCGGTCAGACTGGCTAAAATTAACAACACAAGAAACAACAGGTGTTGGCAAGGATGTGGAGAAAGGGGAACCCTCTTGCACTGTTGGTGAGAATGCAAACTTGTGCAGCCACTGTGGAAGACAGTATGGAGGTTCCTCAAAAAAGTTAAAAATGGAACTACTCTATGATTCAGCATTTGCACTATTAGATATTTACCCAAAGGACTAATTCAAAGGGATACATGCACCCCAATATTTATAGCAGCATTATCTACAATAGCTAAATTATGGAAATAGCCCAAGTGTCCATCAACTGATGAATGGATAAAGAAGATATCTTTTCAGTATCTTGACAGTGTCCTTTTTTTCTTTTTTTTTGTTTTTTTTTCCACATTAAAAGACACATAACATGAAATTTACCATGTTAATCATTTTTAAGAGCACAGTTCAGTGGTATTAAAGACATTCACATTGTTATGCAGCCATTACACTATATATCCCTATAATTCCTTTCATGTTGTAAATCTGCAACTCTATGCCTATTAAATAGTAACTCTACATTCTCCCTTCCCCTCAAACCCTGGTAACCACCATTCTACATTCTGTCTCTGAATTTGAAGCACAAAATTTTTAAATTTTGACTTAATTTTTAATAAAGTCCAATTTATCTATTTGTTGTTGTTGTTGCTTGTGTTTTAGTATCATGTCTAGAAAACCTTTGCCAAATCCAGGGTCATGAAGATTTACTACTATGTTTTCTTATGTGAATTTTAGAATTTTAGCCCTTATATTAGGTTTCTGATACATTGAGTTAATTCTTATATATGGTGTGAGTTAAGGGTTCAACTTCATGCAAAAGCATGTGGGTATCCAGTTGTCTCAGCACCATTTGTTGAAAAGACTGTTCTTTCACCAATGAATTGCCTTGGCACGCTTGTTGAAATCAGTTGACCATAAAACTAGGGAGTTATTTCTGGACTCTCAATTCTATTCTGTTGCTTCATATGTCTACCCTTATGCCCATAACCTAATGACTTGATTATTGTAGCCATGTGCAGGGTTTTTCCTTTTAAATAATGGTAAAATACACATAGTGTTTAACATCTTAACTATTTTTAAGTGTAGTTAGTAGTGTTAAGTATATTCACATTGTTGTGCAACCAATCTTCAGAAATTTTTCATCTTATAAAACTTAAATTCTATATGTATTACATAATAATTCATTTCTCTGTTTCCCCAGTCCCTGGCAACCACCATTCTGCTTTCTGCCTCTATAAGTTTGACTACTTTTGGTACCTCATATAAGTAGAATCATGCAATCTTTTTGTGACTGGCTTATTTCAGTTAGCATAATGTCCTCAAGGTTCATCCATGTTGTAACATGTGTCAGAATTTCCTTCCTTTTCAAGTCGGACTAATATTCCATTATGTGTGTATGCCACATTTTGTTTATTCATTCATCTCTCAGTGGACACTTGGATTGCTTCCATCTTTTGGCCATTGTGAATAATGCTGCCATGAACATGAAAGTGCAGATATCTCTTTGAGACCCCACTTTTAATTCTTTTGTATAGATATCCAGGAATAGAAATTCTGTATCATATACTTTCCATTTTTAAGTTTTTGAGATCCACTCTACTGTTTTCCATATCAGCTGCACCATTTTACATTCCCACCAACAGTGCAAAAAGGTTCCAATTTCTTCACATCCTTGTCAGCACTTGTTATGTTCTGTTTCCTTGATAGTGGGCATCCTATTGGGTGAGGTGGTATGTCGTTGTGGTTTTGATTTGCACTTCCCTTATGATACAGAACATTGATCATCTTTTTATATGCTTGCTGGCCATTTGTATATTGTCTTTGGGAAAAAGTCTAGTCAAGTCCTTTGCCTATTTTAGAATTGAGTTGTTTGTGGTTTTTGTTGTTGTTGTTGAGTTGTAGGAATTCTCTATTCTGGATATTAACTCCTATCAGGTATATGATTTACAAATATTTTCTCCTACCCCATAGGGTCCCAATTCACTCTTATTTATTGTGTTCTTATAATTCCATTTATTTCTGTAAAGTAGGTAGTGATATCCCTCTTCCATTTTTAATTTTAGTTAATTTGAGTAATTTTTCTCCTTTATTCTTGGTTAGTCTAGGTAAAGGTTTGTCAATTCTGTTGATCTTTTCAAAGAAGAAACTTTTAGTTTGTTGATTTTCTCTATTGTTTTCCTATTCTCTGTATCATTTATCTGTGCTGTAATTTTTATTATTTCCTTCTGCTTGTTTTGCATTTAGTTCTTCTTTGCCTGGTTTGTTAAGGTGGATGGTTAGGTTACTGATTTGAGATTTTTTTCTTTTAATGCAGGTATTTATACCTATATATTTCTCTCTAAGCGTTTTTGAAGTTGGTAAACATTTACACAGTTAAACATTAAAAATGAACTTGAAGGGTGGGTCCAGATTCTTTAATTATAGTGAAAATTTTTATTGAATGTTAATTAAACATTGGATTAAAATTCCTTATTTATGGAGAGATTTGTCCCTGAGATGAAGCAAGACAGAGTTGCAAGGATACAGAGCTCAAATTGGGGTCATGACTCATGATTCCAGCTCTGCCACCAGCCAATTAGGTGACCTTATGCAAGTTAATAACCCTTCTTTCTCAATTTCTTCATGTGATCATTCAGGAACATACTAGGAATTTTTTATGTGTGATTATGAGGCTCCCTTGATGTAATGTGTATAAAATGCTTTTTCAATACTCATGTTTATCTAAATTCATGTTTAGTATTGACTAATCACTTATTTTTAAAAACGATTGATGATTTAGTCAGAGAAGTGCATCTTGGGAAGGAAAGGGAGAACCCTCCACTGAGATTTAGTGAAGCTCAACTTTCTGTTATTGTTCAATGGGAAAGATTCACTCAGGTTGTTCTACCTCCTTAACTGTTAGTGTTAAGCCTATTGACCCATCCTTTTACTACAATCATGCATAATCTTAAAGTAGCCTAGGCAGATGCTGTTGTCCAGAACAGTTAAGAGCAGGAGCCCTGGAACCACACTGCCAGGTTTTGAATCTTGACCTTGCCTCATGCTGATGCTGGGGTCTTTGGGAGGTTATATTTAGTGTCTCTGTGCCTCAGTTTTCTCACCTGTAAAATGAGTATAATATCAGCACTTACCACACAGGGTTGTTGTGAGGGTTAAATGGGTTAATGTATGTAAAAAGCATGGCAGGTAGTATGAATTAAGTGATAGCTATTATGATTGAAGGTTTAAACAGAAACTTTGAAGAGTATTATAGAGGGCATCCCCCCCCCCCTTTTTTTTAAATACCCAGAGTAATATCACTTTCTTTTAGGTGACTGTTCCAACCACTACAACCATGGGAACCTACTAGAGGTTATTAATCCCAGGTCTTCACCTGGCCCCAGAGCCAGCCTGTGACCCAGATTGGGCCTAAAGCAGTAGCTGTCCCCCTGGCCACAGTGATGGCCTGGACTGGATCAGTCAGAAAACTTTTTCCTAACCGCAGTTACAGAAGCTGGCTTTGCCTCTTAGGTCATGAACTAGAATTATTTGTGTCACCTGTTTCTGGATTTGGGTTATTTATTTCTCTTTTGTTTTTGTTTTTGTCTTTTAAACAACATTGCAGAGACATCCTTGTTCATCCCTGGGCATCTGCAGGATAACAGACTTGCTGGAATAGAATTAGGGCTTTCATTTAAATACATTTAAATACATTTTCATTTAAATACATCTCACGTTGAGTATTCTTTCTTATTCTAGGTTTCTGTGCAAGATGAACTAGTTCAAGTGCAGCCAAAGTTTAAAAGTAATCTTCTTGAGGCCGTGGAAGTTTTTCGTGAGGATGTAATGAACTTCGCAGAAGCGTATGAGATGGTAATCCAAGTATTTGCATACTGTGGGTTAAAATGTTCTGTGGAGTGTTATATGCGATGACAGTGATGAGTCTTGAGAAATACACTGTGATTTGCACATTGTATATAAGAGGCTGTACTTGCATATTTGCAGCTATCTGAAAAACAGGAGATAGCTAGTCCTTTAAGCTTGTTTTATAGAGGAAGAAAGAAGATATAACTGTTAAAAGGAGGAACAGCTTTTGAGATTGTGGAAGGAACCAAAGGGTCTGTTCTTGTCCTTTCTCAGGCCAGAATGCTCATAGTTGGAAATGGAATACTGTTGTTGAAAGGTTGCAAGAGACTATAAATACCATAATACCAGGGCGTTATGCAACTGATCTTTTTTTTTTTTTTTTACTACAGAACCAACAGAGTCATTGAAAATAAATAATCCATGTCACACTTGCTCAGTCCCACAGACTATTCAGCCTAGTATCATGACCAATAACGATCCACCTCTTTGAAGTTAAACTCAAAAGTTGGCTATATTCCCTAACATGTGCTACTTTCTTTTAGTGGTCACAGTGGGTCTGGATTCATAAGATAATTTTAAGCCCTTAATAATAATCATAAATGCCTTCTTTTTTTTTTTTTTACATGTGCTGAACTTGCCTCTTTTAGTTGGATTTGTTAACATTTTATGGCCCTCGTATTCTATTATACTGGGAATCTAGTCTATTATTTAGCATATCCGTAGTATTCATGATTGTATAGATCATCTGGGGTCCTTTTTGCAACTGTTTTCTGGATGATGGCCACCAGAGACTGCCTTTGGTTTCTTCCAGGTGTTCCACCTACATGCTTCTCTGTTTCCATATTGGGCTGAACCATCGGTGAAAGGAGGCTGTTGTCGGAACTCTAGATCAGTTATTCTAATGAGTAACCACAGCATCATCGTTTACAATCATAAATGACATGAGACAGAGCTCTAGTGGTACAAGCTTCATGCAGGGTGTAATTTTGTCACATTTTTTGTTAGCTATGTCATGGTCCTTTAGAAATGAATGGCAGTTGGAATGATGTGAATATTCTAAAATTGACAATGGTCATGGTTATACAACTTTGTGAATATAGTAAAAGTCATCAAGTTGTCTGTTTTCAGTGAGAGATTGTATGATATGTGAATTATATCTCAGTAAGGCTGTTACAAAAACTAAATGAAAGCTTCATCTATGGGGCAAAATTTGACCATTTCAATTAAAAATAATGTTTATTGATTTAAAAGGAAATAATAGGTAAACTCAATAAATTGATAAATGCATGTGATTAAGAATTTAAATGGAGATTATATTATTCATTACAGGAAGGACCCATGGTTCCAAATATACCACCCCAAGAAGCTAGCAACAGGCTACAGATATTTCAGGTAAAATTTCATTTTCTGCATATAGAAAATGTGTTGTTAGTCTTTAAAATAATTTTAGAGAAAAATGTATGTGTTCTGTCTTACAGAGGAAAAGTTAATGTTTAAAGTGCATACAGATTTTAATTGTATTCTAGTCTGCTAAATAATGTAATTGATTCCTTTTCTTATATCCCTTCATGCTCTTCTCCACAGAATCTCTCTCTGTATTTTTAGAGAATAAGATTTTGATTTTGAACTTAAGCTTATACCTTATTCTCGTTCCAAACATCTTGTTTGTGTGTTAATGGTAAAAATTCATAGAATAATAAAATGTATGAAAATAATAAAATATATCAAATTTAAAATATTGACAAAAAGTTTCCTTGTCTTCTCTCTGTATCCATTATTTTTCTTCCTTCTGTATCCATGACTTTATTTTTAAAAAAATTTTTTTTTCAACGTTTATTTATTTTTGGGACAGAGAGAGACAGAGCATGAATGGGGGAGGGGCAGAGAGAGAGGGAGACACAGAATCGGAAACAGGCTCCAGGCTCCGAGCCATCAGCCCAGAGCCTGACGCGGGGCTCGAACTCACAGACCGCGAGATCGTGACCTGGCTGAAGTCGGACGCTTAACCGACTGCGCCACCCAGGCACCCCTGTATCCATGACTTTAAAATTCCCACTTCATTTGCCCTACCTTGGACAATGCTTACTGGGTCAGGCCAACCATTTACCCTCTTTTTCTATGCCCAGAGTGCTGAGCACATCTAGAGAAAAACCACACACCCATTTAGGTTAATGTTTTGTGGATTCATGGATTCCTATGTAAGCCAGCCCCTAAGATTATCTGGAAATTCTCCTCTTTGTTTCTAATCTCTATCCTGTTTTTTGTAGTGGCTGTGCTATATGTTCTCTTTATGTTCCCTATCCCACCTGCACTTGTAGTCATGAAAAAATATTTATCAGATACCTGCTGTGTGTCTTGGTCAATAGAAAGGTGATTAAGAAATGGTTCTTTCTTCTAAGCTGCTAAAATCTGGTAGGGAGACAGACAGCTGGATAGATTGTAATTGCAAAACCATGTGGTGAGCATTGTGATCTAGGTGTGAGAACCAGTGTTAATGGAAACAGACCGATGGGAGCTGATGGGGCAGCCCAGAAAAGGCTTCCTGGAAGAGGAGCCATCTAAGCTGCGTCTTGAAGGACTAATGAGAATTAGCCAGGGGAAAGAGGAGGGAAAATATATTAGACAGAATTTGTACCTCCCAGAAATGAAGACATAAGCAGGGAGATCTAGGGGAGATGAGAGAGTGAAGTGTGGGGTGCATTGGGCAGAAAGCATAGGGATGAGGGATAGGCAGCACAGTGGGCAGAAATCCTTAGAGAGCCTTGTAGGCTATGATAAGGAGCTTGTAGCCTATCCTAGGGGCTGGAAGGCTCTAAACAGGGAATGATCTGTTCAGATTTGAATTTTTAGAACAGTTGTGTGTTTAAAAGACTTCTCTGGCATTAGTGTGGAGAATGTTTTGGAGGGAGGGTGGTCAGACCGATGGCAGTTTCAGTAATACAAGCAAGAAATAGTAAAGACTGAGACCAACCAGATGCACCTGCAGTAAAAAAGGTTCAGTCAAGTTGAATGGGATCTCTCCAGTCGCAGGTTCTCATGAGAGGGGCACTTCAGGCTTTTTCCATCAGAACCAAGTAGAATTTCTCATGTGGTATCGAATTTTCAAGTATCTCCCTTGATTTGAGTGGTTTAAATGGAAAATCCAGACCCAGATAAGAAAAGTGTTTCTCCAGGATCCTTCAAGCAACCGGGAATTGCAGCTGACCCTAGAGGAATAAACTTGTGCAAAGTAGATGAAATCAGCTGTCACAGAACCCACTGTGTGTGCTGCCTGGCTCCAGAGGGGTAGGTCCAGCCCAGTAACTCTGGTGGTTTTCTATAAGGTAGGCTGTCTGTGCTGGTCAGGGTTTTCATGGAATGCAGCCTTTCATTGAATATGATGTCCTCAGACAAAAAGTCATAATCCCTTGATATTGTTTGGGTTCTTTTGTCCTTAGGACAATAATGGTCACTCTTGGACTAAAACCAGATCCTCCTATCTATCACCCTTGCCAGCACTTTATGCTGGACACTGGAGGAGGCTCTTGATCCTTTGCTACCTGAAGTCCCCAGGGCCCTGGGGGAAAGGCCTGCCTCTCTGGAGGAGCCAGGACCCAGATTGATCTGCTTACCTGGTGGCTGCCAGCTGAGCCAAGCAGAACCCCTCAGCAATAAAAGCAAGAGGGAGGATGAAAATAGATAGTAATGTTGGATGGTGATAAGTGCCAAGGGAAAAAAATAAAGCAGGGAAGGGGAATAACATGCTGGGCTGTGTGTGCATAAAGTGGAAGGTCTCCAGAGAAGCCATCCTTGAAAAGGTGACATTTGAGTGGAGACCTAGAGAAATGAGGGAACAGACCCAGCAGGTATCTGGAAGAGCAGCTTTCCAGGCAGAAGGATGAGCAGGTGCAAAGGTCCTGAGTATAAGCAAATATGACATCAACTTACTTATATTTTCAGTGACTTGCTCTAGCTACAAGTGTTGAGAGTAGATTATTGACAGTCAAGGGTAGAAGCAGGGAGAGTAATTAGGAGGCTATTGAAATAGTCCAGGACAGGATGACAGTAACTTGGACCAGCCTGGTGGCATTGGAGTTGATGAGAAGTGGTTGGAGGCTTGGTGTATTTTGAAGGTAGACCCACCTCCTTGTCTTTCCGTCAGGAGTTACCAATTTATTGGTTAGCAACTGGGACTTTAATGGGTCACCCTTTTACCAGAGGTGTGGCCACTTCATTGAAAAGACATTGAAGGGCCCATCTCTTGCCATCTTGCTCCTTCTATTCTCCATGTGTTTGGGGGTGTGAGGTAAGCAGGCTGTTCCCCATGCATCTGGCTGAACATGTGACCCAACTCTCCTCAAAAGCAGGTGCCCTTTCATCCCCCAACCCCCAAGAGAAGCAGGTGCCAAGATCTGGATTGTGGAAAGAAGCAGGAGCCTCATGTGGGGTCTCAGGGTGCAGTGGTGTTCTCTGATGCAATTTTACTCTGATTTCTGGAGTTACTGGGCATTCTGTTGGTCTGCTGACAAAGCTGATTATTTTGCTCCCCATTTGGCTGCATTATTTGGGAGCTGAGTGGAAAAGGGGTGAGTGACTGGCATCCATCAATAGTCTTTACCTCATAGACAAGATTTTAAATGTCATTATTTTAAAGTATGCTAACTTTAAAGTTTTTGTTTCACCTTTTCTGGGTTCACCTTGTCCCATGGACACTTTAGTCAGTAAATTTGTTGAGTAACCACTGTACTAACCACCAAGAAACGTAAAAAGTGCAAAATATGGCCCTTTCTAGGAACTAAGAGTTCACTGGAGTTCCTTCAAGGTCCTCACCCCTTCCTGATTTGGCTCCTTTAAAGTATGTTGTGGAATTTAAGAAACAAAACAAATGAACATATGGGAAGGGAAAGAGAGAGAGACAGAGAGACAGAGAGAAAGGGAAGCAAGCCATAAGAGATTCTTTACAACAGACTGAGGATTGATGGAAGGAGGTGCGTGGGGGAGGGGCTAAATGGGTGATGGGTATTAAGGAAGGCACTTGTGATGAGCACTGTTATATGTAAGTGATGAATCACTAAATTCTACTCCTGAAACCAATACTACACTATATGTTAACTAACTAGAATTTAAATAAAAAATTGAAGGAAAAAAAAGAAATAAAAGAAGCTAACATAGCTGTCAGATCTGATTCACTCTCTGGGTATTGTGAGGTCTGATGCCAGACATTCTCCAGGGCTGGAAGTTTGGGATCCCTATTGATATGTTATACCCTTTATGTGTAGCACACATATCTCATCACAGGTGGGTTATTTCTATTTGGTTTGGTGCTTTAAACACTATTATACTTAGCATTGTAAGTATAGGAGATTCCACTTTTGGTTCAAAGGACATGTGCATTAACTTCGTTGATTCAGATTGCTGGAATTCTTTCAAATGGTATTAAAATGGAAAACAGGGTTGAAAGGATTATACTCACTCATTTGGACCATGTAGAAGAGATGACAAGTCTAAATTAGTGAAAAAGCCTGAATTATAGGTTATTTAAAATACTGTTTTATTACTTTCAGACATATTTATGGGAACTTGAGAACCAGGTCTTCTAGGGACCACTTAATTTATTAAAGAAAAAAAAATTCATGTAAAATGGATACTTTTAAAATGCTTAAAAGTTAATTTTATTAAGTGGTCAACTTTTCTTCTGATAGCTTGGTATCAGAAGTATAAATTTCTTCACAGATCCTTGTTTGATAGATATTATTAAACAAACCTCAATGTAGCTTTTATTCCAGGTATAATAAATTCTACCTTAATGGGGCCTGAATTAATTATATTTTACTACAACTTAAAAATCTTCTTATAGGCCAATTTTGATGATCTGTGGAGGAAGTTTGTTACATATTCATCTGGTGAACAACTTTTTGGATTGCCTGTGACTGATTATGAGGTTTTACACAAAACTAGGTAAGTTTAGAAACTGTACAAGTGATACATGCAAATAATTAAATTCTGTCCATTAGAAGAATCATGCCATCATTAAATCCTTTATCATGCAGACAGCCTCCCCTAGAACACTCCTAAATATCCCCCTTATTCCTGGCTATTCCTGACCCACTGGATACATGGTCACCACATACAACAGAAATGTCCTTGAGGAGTTGAAAATAGGTTGCCAAAGTTGTGGTATTTGTGGTCTATATTTAGCCTATAGAAGCACTGCAATTTTGGATTTTTTTTTTTTTAATTTAGAAGAATAGCCATCCTTGGCTTTCCAACCCTTCTTATTGCATTTATGCTAAGTGCTCTTCGCTTTTGAGTAAACACAGAATTCATCAGGATTGAAGGCCAAGGAGCTTAACTGATTTTAAATAGTAAGTAGATCTAGGAATTAAGCAAGTATATCTTAATGGAATTTTGTATAACTTTCCTCAAACTCAAAATTAGAACAGTGGCTTTAGCTTATTAGGATCATGGTTTCAGTAAAGAACTTTATGTTGATTTCATCAAAGTTCTAACATGTCTTTGCAAAATAGATAAGAAATTTTCTGACCATAAATTAATACTTCCAACTACCTTAGGGTAGATGGCTTGTATTTTTTTTCCAAGCATTCATTCACCAAGCTTAACTGGATGACCAGTTGTGTTAGAATTGCAGATGTCTGTTCTTTACCCTGACTTACTAAATCAGAATCTCAGGGATTGGGTCCTGCATATTCATAAATTCTCTAGTTAATTCTTTGCGTGCTCAGTGTGAGACTCAGTGTTTTCTTTTAGCCCTCAGTATTCCAGGAAAAATAACCATCCTCATTTACTATTTATTTTTTTATATTTAAGTGATTTATGAATAATTTGCAAACATACAAAGCACTTTTGTATGTTTGAAAAGTGAAAAGCACTTTTATTAGAAAATGTAGTGAGAATTTAAGCAGTGAAAACCCAAACTTTTACTCCATAATACCCTGGTTTGAAGATATTTACACAAAGTGGAAACTGACTTCGGAATCCAACTGTAACAGAACCAATGTGAGTTTGCTCCTTGGTGAGTCAGAAACTGCACAAGTTTGAGTTGTCACACAAAGAAAACTTTATTTGCAGCAAATAAAGAGATCATGGGGAATAGCTTCCAAAGCCATGATTCCCTGAGAGAGGGTGAATGGATTCCTTTTATTTAGGGTTAGAATGAATATATCAATAGGAAAGCTCTGTCATTGTTTGTAAAGGCAGGCATGAGATTGCGCATGTGCCTTAAGGAAACATGCCAATACACACATTGTATGTTATGTAAATGAAGCACGTGCTTCTCCATCAGCGGAGATTTTAGTATTATAATGTGGTGAAGGTGATTGTAAGTCATTCCAGAGGTCACTCCATGGTCCATATGAGTTTAGCTCCAAGGATCTGGGCGAGTGGGAGGTCTTGTGAGGGCAGTGGATACCACCTGAGTAGTGCTTTTGGGTTTCCTTTGCCTAAGTTAAGAGGTAAGACAGAAAGAAAAGCTTAAGGAAAAATTTAAGGCAAAGATTAGTGAGTACAAGCAGTGGGACAGTAAAGGTCAGTTCTTGGATTCTTGCTGGTGACACCACCAACTTCTCATCAGCTGTCATGCACAAACCTGGACCATACCCATTCTGTAGGCACTGATTTCCGATTTCAAATCCATCTCCAACAGCTTCTAACTTACTATTACTTCTGACTTTTCTTGGACTTGCATTGCTAAACCCCAGAGCTGTTGAAAACTCAGACACCCATAATTTTGTTGAAGAGAGGATCACCATCTTTCTTGCATTATGAATGCAAAAAATCTTTACTTTCACATTTGAAGGATCAAGTCCATGAACTTTTTCATTTCTGCATCATCTGTCTTTGAGTACACATCTGCCTTCAGCATCTGTCTACTTAGGGGATGTCCCAAATAAAAGTTACACAAACATCACAGATAATGGAAGAACAGTCATATATCCTTTTCACGAAATGGGATGGTTTAGGTTCTTGTAAAAATTTGCAGGATGAAACCCTTGCCTCTACATAAACATATTGTCCACTCATAAATTACTGATTTGGGTAAAATTCATCTAGGTAATTATCATCTAAAGACCCACAGTCTGAGATCTCACTTACATAGCCAGTTGGACTATCACAGTTAGAGTCTAGTGTGTTGCCCTGTGTCTCTTTCCTGTTCAATACTTGGGAAACACACTCTTTTGTCAGTTGTCTTCTCTTTGCTGTTTTACATAAAAAATGAACAATTCCTTAACTGTATTAAGTGAGAGCTAAACAACAACAACAAAAACAAAACAAAAATGGTGTCTCTCCAGAGTTCTTTCTTGATACTTTCTTTCTTTTTTTTTTCAATACAATGATCATTTTACTTTTATTTATTTATTTATTTTTAATATGAAATTTATTGTCAAATTGGTTTCCATACAACACCCAGTGCTCATCCCAACAGGTGCCCTCCTCTTGATACTTTCTTAAAAGACGATACAATGCTTTGGGCAACACAGTAAGAAACCTGAAGAAAAATTGTCCCTTTTTTATTGGAGATCTTGTTGTTCTTTTTGTATTATTTTAGTCATTTTTAGCATAGTTGGAAATACTCCATGATTAACAATGGGATCATTCCTAAGAATCAGCAAAATGAAGCAAGAATTGGAAAAACAGAGTGTTTTTTAAAGGGCCCAGTGTGCCCATTTGATAATTGCAAGATAGAATGAGTTTTACTTTATTAAAAACATAAGCAAATTTTAACTTTGGCCTTTGCATTATTTATAATACATCATAAAAGTTGTGAACATCAATCCTTACAAATAGTTAGAACTGCTCAAGAAATAAACTCAAAAACTGAAATTGGGTCTAGGGGACCCTCATGGTCCGCTAAGCATTGAGGAATTCTTGGGAGCATCAACAAACTCAATTTTTGGTGTATTACACGATAAAAGGACTTTTTCTAGGAATCTATAATCCCTCCTATTATTCTTGCTATGTATATAACTCCATTTGGGTACGTGAGGGAAAGCTTTTGGTAGGAAAGTGATGTTTAAGTCACTTCCTAAAGATAGATGTTCTCATAAAAAAACAACTTGCATTTGAAAGAAAAAAAATTAAAATCTTAGCCTTAGCTTTGATCTTACCAAGTGCTGGTCACACTGTTTGCAGTGACTGGAATGGTAATAATAATCAAGCCATTTGTTAGTGTCAAGTCATAGTATGACTTGGAATATTTGAGAGCTGTACACTTGACCCGATTGATGGAGCTTTAATAAAATCTTTGTTTGGAAACTAACAGGGTTTTTTGCATATTGGTGTATATAAAGTACACATGTGATGTATGAAATATTTGATTGGATGAATTCTGTCTATCCAATAATGACATTTATTTTTAAAATACACATTATGCAATGACTTAAATATTTGGTTTCCCAGAAAGGAACTCAACTTGCTGCAGAAGCTGTATGGACTCTATGATACCGTAATGAGCAATATTAGTGGTTATTATGAAATACTTTGGGGAGATGTAGACATTGAAAAAATTAATGCAGAACTGCAGGAATTTCAAAACAGGTGAGTTTTAATTGAATTAAACTTACCTTTTTCTAGTGGCTATCTTCATAAGATCTTGTAGGTATTTAACAAATGAATCTATCCTCTGATATATTGCCATATGTATGTGTGTGTATATATATATATATATATATATATAT